GTACCGATCCAAATATATAAGTAGTTATTATTTGAGATATACATATAAATGTATGTATATGACTTATTTTAGGATTTGTATTTTATAAGTAATTTTTCTCAATACCAAATATATTAAATAGTCATGTTAAATGTATGTGTGAAGGTAATACACAATAATTAATTTATATATGTATACATATATAAAGAAATTCACATTTTGTTTAACTATAACGAATATTAATTGGACATTGTTCAAATAAAGTAGTTCTATAACAAGAACATAAAACACAGAACTACACTTCCCGTACGCAATCGGTTAGTTGGTATTGTAAAGCGAAACACACACACAGACACACACATACATATATGTATATACACGTATATATATGTATATAATGTGTATTTTATTACATATTACAATACATTTCCTACACATGAGTCACCATATCTAAGGTCACCTGTTATTGGATGAGACCGCTGTAGTTTACTAGTTTAGATTGTCAGGAGATCACTCGGAACAAGACAGACAGACTACAAAAAGCCTATCCTACATATATATACGTATTGAGCGTTAAAAAATATTTCAATAATTGCATTTATATGTAAATATTTCTAATTTTAATGAAAAACTGTCACTAATAATAATTGATAATGTTGGTCAATTTATATAAATACACCAAAAAATCCTTTCCATTTAAACAAAACGTATTTTAAAACCACACATGTTTATTAGTTTATAGTATTTTAAATAACAAAATATGTAAAAAATACTAGTAGCTATTAAAATTCATCGATTCTCATTGATTCCAAACAGATTGTAATTTGTCCATTGAAGCAACCAATTAATATTTCATAATAAACTAATACTTAATCATATTCTATTCATATTTCAACAAACACAATATAATAAAGACATATTAAATTTTATGTCAGTGGTGGCCTAGTGGTTAAAAAGCCCGTCTCTGATCCACAAAGGCGCGAATCGATCCTGGCAAGTACCAATGTAATTTTTCCGAGTCATATATACTTTGTAAGAGTATTTAGACATCACTGATTAATGCATTCCCAAAGAAGGTTGATGTCAGGCAGGCGGCCGGTCGTAAAAACAATTAGCCAAAACTATTCACAACATGTAAGGCAGACAGGCTAAAGCTGTGAAATTACTAGATAGAAGAGAAGAAATATTAAACAATAAGTATTTATACTTAAAAACGTTTAACTATCAGATACTAAGGATGTCCTATGGCTTCGCACCCCAGATAGCCTCTGTCCAACTGTGTCTAGGTCACTTGTAAGTAACGCTAAGTAACAATAAACACTTCTGTTATTGATGTCAAACGTGTTAATATATTTTATGGTGGGATTTTAAATATTATAGGATTCCGTATATCTTATATACAAAATTCTCGTGTCGCGGTGTTAGACAGAAATTTCGTCTGAAATCGCTGGACCGATTTTGATGAAATTTTGTGAGCATATTGAGTAGGTCTGAGAATCGGCCAAAATCTATTTTTCATATCCCTAAGTCGTAAGGGTTGTTGCCCTTAATTTTTTTTATTTTCGGACCTTTTTTTTATTATGTAGCCTTAAAAAATACACACAACCCTAAATATTTACTTTTTATCACCAACCCTTATTTTTTTATATGTCAAAACAACGATTGCCGGGTCAGCTAGTATATATCTATTTATATGGAATAAGTTTTCTCAGCTAAGTTTTTAAACACGATATAAAAGTATGAATATTAATTTAAAATTAAATATATTATGAACGTTACATACTGAACGCAGCCATTGCATGAATAAATTAAAAAAATTAATGACGTAAACAAACGTCACATATTGACATATGTCAAAAACAGATGTTCATTGTGCGTGTATGTTGAAATGTCAATCACAAAACATGTTGTGAATCGAAGGTCGCGATTATTATGCCATCATTAAAAAACATTAAAACTTGTTTATTATTATGATGTTTGTATTTAAGTTAAAGTGTTAGTTAAACTAGTAAAATAATGTTTTTATGTTATATTTATTTAAATTAAATAAATAGCAGTAAATGACGTATGTTTGTAGTTTACTATTTATCGATGAACATAATATATACACACACACACACACATACATACATATATACATATATATATATATATATATATATATATATATATATATATATATATATATGTATAGTTTGCAATTCCATACAAAATGCCTGTTTAGTTCAAGGTACATATTTCAATAAAAAAATCTTCTTTACATAACATACAATTATTTATACATAAAAACCTCTAAAATTCTCAAATTTCAAAGAAATAAAAATGTAATATTGAATTATCTTAAAACATTTAGCTTGCATTTTAACCGATTTCTTTGCAATTGACAAAAAAAAAACTCAGTGACGTAAATACACTCACAAAAACAATAATGAAATATCAAATATGGTTTTTCCACTGAAATGATGAGAAAAAATATCATTCGGACGGAAGAACAACAAAACAATAATTAGTAATAATTGTTTGTGTACTTGTTTATATTTAGATAATATTGCAAATAAAAATTTTCCATAATGAATTAATTACATCAAGCAATATTAACTTCGTACAATCAAAAACATTAATATTAAAAAGATAATAATAATAATAACCTATAAAACCTCTTTTAAACATATCACACCTAACTACAAAGTCTGGATGTATAATTCAAAACTGTTACGGATAATATAAGTGAAAAAAAAAAAACAAAAACGCGCCAAAATAATGCAAAATCATCAAGAATGTTCTCGAAAGTCATAGTTTCCATACACTAAAATTAACAATATGAGGTTAAAAATGAAAAATCACATGTAATCTGTATAATATATTATACAGATTAGTTATTCGTTGAGAAATACTGTTATCATAGTCCCATTTAAAACGAAACAAAACAATTATTTGCGTTTGAATTGAAATTGTGTTGCAACGAGCGTTGACCCGCCATCTTGAATCAGCTGTTCACAACGAGAAATAATACATGTATATGTTTTAAACAATTATATATCTTATATATAAAATTCTCGTGTCGCGGTGTTAGATAGAGAACTGATCCTTGACTTGACCGATTTTGATGAAATTTTGTAAGCATTGAGTAGGTCTGAGAATCGGCCCACATCAATTTTTATACCCCTAAGTTATAAGGGATATTTACCCCCAAAATTATTTGTTTTTATTTTTTTATAATGTAGCATTAAAAATAAATACAATGCAAACTTTTTACTTTTTCATCACCAACACCTATCTTTTTATATGGCAAAACAACGTTTGCCGGGTCAGCTAGTATATACATATATATAATCGTTAATTCATATATATTAATATAATAAAAATATTGTCTTTGTCCATATAAAGCCGTGTTTAAAGTTCCGCGTGTATAAAACAAACAAACAAGTGTATGCTTAGATAACAAAGATGCATACCGAGCCATTGTGTTCAATGATTAGTTTAAATAAAACACAGACTATAAATATAAATATACAAAGACCGCTTGATGATACAGATAATATATATTTTATTTAATCTGTGTCTTTTTATAATAGAGGTTTTATATTATTTTTTTATGAAAATTGTTGTGTTTAATGGAAATAATAAATCAATTGTTTTAACATTTTAAGTTAAAGCAATGTTAAGAAAATTTTTCATCTTTCACGCTCTATTTATCAAGGGCGTCTAGTTTTAAATGTTACGAAATTGTTAAAAAATATATGAAAAATGTATTTAAAAATTTATATAATTATGTTATTTAGGAAAATAATCGTTACTGTGTGTAATATTTTCATATAAAAATTGCTGAATCGATTTTGATGTAACAGATGGGTTTGAGTTGTATAGAATTTTTTCAATAAAAAAGAGGGACATTTAAGTTTAAATTTAATATGTTTGTAATACAATACGCGAGTATTTGACGATGTTTAATTTCCGGTGTTTTAAAAGGTTTCTTTATATTATTCTACGACTACCTTTAATTGTATGGAGAATATATAGTAAATATATTCGTTATAAAAATATATGTATATACATTATCGTAAATATATTATCGTAAGTACCTTATTTTACTTATACCTAAATAACTGTAAAATTAAGGATCTAAATTCTATAGTATCATTTGGTCAACCAGTATACATCGTACTTGAAACGAACCTTTACCAGTTAATCTTTTAGTTAACTTAGATTTTGATAGTTTACTTCAATCTGTGTTTAATTTAAATTATAATTTGGGTGTTTAAGTAAACTGTGTTACTGAGGTAGTGTGTTCATTAAGATATTATTTCTATAAACCAATGAATGGAATTATAGGCAGTATCCAGTCGAAAATATATAAACATATATACATATTTATGAATAAAAAGCTGTTAAAGTTCCCTATTTGGTTGGGATATTATCTAAAAATATATATATACATAGTATGTAACGTACTACGAATATATAATATATTAGATTCATACACTATTAAATGTATGTGTATATTATTATTTGTATTACTGTGCAAATATTGGCTCCACATTGTATTACGAGTTGCGAGAGATAAAAAAATTTCTGGGACTGGGACTTGTGACCCAGGTGTAGGTTTAATATCATACTATACTATTAAAGTCGTATAAAAATCATAAATCGCATTCTTAAAATCGGAAACAAGTTAAAACGGTACATGGTAGCCATTTTTATTACAACTTTATAATTAGCGAAAACTCGTTTGAATTCTTAAATCACGGAATGTGCAGAGGATTTTGAAATAAATGAATATCTCACGATTAATTCTAAGTTGCTTGTAATCAAACGATCTCTAGATGATTTGAAACACAACCTTCATGCTAACTGCTAAGACAATCGCAGATTAATATTTAATTATTATCCATACATTCGTATCGTATTTATTGCCACTATTTTCAAACAATCACCTCTATTCGGCCATAATATTTACATAATGACCTCATTAGTGCTCAAGAGAATAAATTTATACAATACAAAAATTACTTAAAACTAACCTTGAATTCTTTGACACTTTATTCCCGTTCGCGCCATATTCTATTTCTGTGCCGCCGAAACTCGTCACTAAAGGCACGTCACCTTCCGCCATGTTTATTTATTTTTTATTCACTAACAACGAACTATTTTATGTATTAACTATACGTCCAACTCGCACGACGTCCAGTATTGCACTGACTGTCTGACCGATTGCTTATTGTAACGATGAACCAACCTCAGATAACATATGACGGTACTGTCATTGATAATGAATCGCGTCAAGCGACAAATGTATTTCCGTTTTTTTTTTTTTTAATTTAAACGCTCAAGTTTTTGGACATTCGTATTAATATTTAGTTGTAATTTTTTATATATAATTATTTATAGCTGTGAATGTACGTACATCATTCACGCAACATCCGCTTCAGTTGGTTCCGGATTTCTTATTTACGTAATTATTTACGTTTTTTGCATTAAATTTTATTTTTTTCTTAAGTCATAATTATGTCAATATATTAAAAATATATAAATTATACGTATTATTAAAGGAATAATATTTCCACAGGTGTCAGGCGTTGTAAGTTTTATGACATCATTACGTATTACCTTAATAATGTTTTTTACTCTTTATCACCAGTCCGCCTTTCACATGACCCCCAGATTCAGACAAAATACTTGATAATAATCTTGATACATTCTATAATTCAATTATAAAAATATGTCATACATAAACTAATATATACATATATTTTAATTACACATTTTGTAGCTAATAATAAACAATTACTAATAATATAGAATGTAATAAATAATATTAATTAAAAAAAATATATAAATAAATATATGTGTTCATTATTGCTTAACGCGATCCAAAGCAACGTCACAACAACAAAACTATCTCGTTTATCCAGAAATAATGGGGTAGTACACACTGACGCATTAAAACGCCCCCCCGATAAAAAAAAAAACTTACCGGGAAGTCAAATTGGGTTTTATATATCAATCTATTATTATTTGAAGTTTCCGAACGTAACACGCTAATGTTGGTTCAGAAATTTTGTTTATTTTTAAGCTAAATACTAACTTGAAACGTAATAGCGATTTGATGTGACGCAAACTATATACATATGTTTTTAAATTATCGAAATAACAAATAGGTCACGTATTAAAATGTTATAAAATATTAATTTTTTCAAAATTAAATAAATTCTATTTTCAAATATTTCTACAGCCTATTGAAGGACTAGGTTTTATGAATGTTAAGAGAGAAAGAGTGGGATAAAGAGAGAGTGAAAGAGATAGCAATATTAGTAAGACAAAATATATTTGTCCTTGAACTTCAAACTGGAATCACGTATGTTTTGCAACAAAATATGTTTTGTTATTGTATACAACGCGGGAATTTGGTTGTTATTTAGGGAAATCTATTCCGATAAGTGCTATAGGAATTTGAATATAAATAGATTATTTACGTTGATCGTATTTCCCGTGTTGTTCGATATTGTTTTTGTTTTCAAAACTTTAATCATAAGATTCATCTCTGTAATTTAAATCGGTGCGTGGATCGAGAACTTTTTTACATAAAGATGGCGGATATATTTCGTAATTGGTTGTAAATTCTTTTTAAGTCAAGTAAATAAGTTATAATTAAATTTTTCAATACAATAAAGTTATTTACAAAATACTTAGGTATACCTATAAAAAATTCCAGACTATAGATTTCGACCAATTGGATTATTTGTTCATTTAAGTAAATACAGATAATGAGGATTTTGTTTTATTAATGGACACTAATTTGATTAAAAGTTGAAACCAGTCTTATTTTTAATCCTATATTTTTATATAGTCTGAAGTTGCGAAATAAATAAAGATTTATTCGTCACTCAGAAATTCTTTGATTTGGTTTGCGATGCAAAAAAAACGGAAAATTTTAAATATATTGAATTTAAATTCGCGTACCTACATAATGTATTAAATTATTTTTTATGATAGCAATAATACGTAAAAAGGTTTTAATAGATATAAACAACAGGCCTGTTTTTAGATTAAAAAACTGAAGCATTCATTATTATGGACATATGTATTGGGTTGAATATTAGAAAACTAGTTTTTTCTCGCGACTTTGTCTGTTTGGACTCAAAAATTAGGTTCAGAGAGCAATTAATAGTGTTTTATTTATAGATATATTAACCAAACGTCAGCGCCATCTATCGTAAGTCACGTGACTTGATACACAATATAACTGTTATGTGTTTCTGTTGTAAGTAAACGGAATTTGGAGATAAATTATAGCCTACGTCCTATTCTAATGTCTAAAGGTGGCACTTCACTTGGCGTTGCGTATTCGCCGCATTTGTCCAAATATTTGTTCATAGTCCAAATAGCGCAAACACTACATCCACACTTGGTATGCCAACAACATTTCTTTACGCGTTTTCGCTTATTTGTATGTGTCTTATTTGTGAGAATATGTCAAATGAAAACGAAGAAATTCTACATATGGTCTTATTTGGCCGAACACAATAAATAAACGCCAAGTAAAATACATACCACCTAAAACTACATCGTTGTAAACTTTCATCTGAATTTATTCAATAGTTTTCGGGTAATACAGTAACAAACATACATACATTCCCAGAAACTTGCATTTATAGTAGGATTTATTTAAATCAAATAAATAACAAACCCGCATGCATCAATTGTACTTAAATGTGATTAATTTCTTAGTTATTTTATCATTCTTTATAATTTCAAAGAAATATAGTACTATGTACATTGTAAATTAATATTAATTAGTCTACGAAATAGTCTTATCATATAATAGATGAAAAAGCGCCTGTAGAAGCTTCTAGAAAATTGCCTAGTACAATTCTAATACATGAATCTGGTGACGTAAATAGAAGAATAATTAAATAAAGAGTGAATGATTTCGAACGAATGAAATATATGTAGATAAAAACTTCGTTCAATAAAGTAACATATATATAATGATATCTAAAATTTCGCAAGTATTAATTTAAATCAAACTATTTCATATATTATATGTATTATCCAAATTTGACTGTTTCTTCTGGTGTTAGTTATTATTGCTGTAAAGTAACCTAAACGTTGGGATTATGTACATATAAAATAAAAAACGCGTATCCAAAATAATTAGTTTCATTTAAATTAACTAAGAGATTACTTTTTTTTAACCTATCAGAGCCCACTGCTGAGCTGCCTCTTCTCACATGGAGAAGGTTTGAGCATTAATCACCACGCTTGCTCAAGACGGGTTGGTGATTTCAAACTTATAATTGTGAAATTATAAGTCCAGGTTTCCTCACGATGTTTTCCTTCATCTGTCAGTGATGTCTAAATACTCTTATAAAGTACATATGACTCGGAAAAATCATATTGGTACTTGCCAGGATCGAACTTATTTAGAGATTACTTACCATATATAGGGGAGAGTCGGATATATCGTACCACTTTTCACTTTAACTCAAATATTTCGACTATAACACGTCTTATAATAATTAATACATATGTAAAATAAAGTTTCATATTTTAGTTTCCTAAGAAGAAGAGAACAGATCCTTGCGATTATTCTAACATTGTTAAAAATGCTTTTTTATAGAGGCTTGCCATCGATACGATTTAGCCGACTAGTCGTTTTAATCGTACCACTAAGTCTTTAAATCGTACCATGGGTGTTTAAGTCGTACCACTGAATGAAAGACATTAAAATTCTCAATCAAATTATTTATTTTTAACTGTTAGGTAAGTAATAAAACAACATTATTAATATCTTTTAGGTAATAGAAACTTAATTTTTAACTCTTAGGTTTAATATAAAGGAACTAGGTATAAGCTTTCTCAGTAAAATAACATGATTATACTCTGATAATGAGATCAATCAACATAACTAATAAAAATGAGACAAAAAAAAAACAGTAAACTATAATAATAAAGTAATAGTTAACAAGAATGTTATTTGTAATATAATTATTGTGCATATTTCTTAATGGAAACAATCATGACAAATGTCTGGATTCGAAGTACACGTCTCATGTAGCCACCGTTTACAGCGAACGCATTGAATCCAATCAACTTTTGGACCCTTCTTATCGTAGTAAGAACAATTGCACTTTCGACATATATTTTCAAGATAATCATCGCTGTCATCATCATCATTTAGTTCTACAACAAGTGTCTCTCCTGAATCATCGCTACTGGTGATGGAATGAGATCGTTTCCTCTTATAACTTTTGTTTTTGGCCTTAGGTAGTACTTACTATATGTACTTACGGTAGTACTATAGGTACTTGCGGTTGGTAGTCGGGTAAATCGTACCAGTACAATTTAACCAACTGCAAGTGGTACGATTAAACCAACTAAGGCATTTCTAAAACAAAAGCAAATATCCGGCATAAACTCAAAACTTAGACACGCAACAAAAACCCCCAATAATCTAGTATACAATTGTGGAATAATAAAAAAAAACTGAATAACTATAACTTACCTTGATTACGAGTTATCTCCTTGCGAATGTACGACAATATTTATATTAATTCCTACAAAAAATGTTTTTCTTTTATTACGTGTCCAGTTGTTAACTCACGTCGATTTAAACTAGTGGGTGAAGAGGGATGATGCAGGGCCACGATTTGTTGTTGTCAGTGTAGAAAAAAATATTCATTAAATGGGAAATTTAGAAGTGGTACGATTTAAATGCTAGTACGATATAACCAACTCTCCCCTATATATTTTATTATTATCATCTATTAGACCATATATTACCAACATACGCTTTCTTCGTACGCGACTTGTGAACCTAATAGCGGGCCATGGATGGTAACTAAATACTTTCTTTGTTTTCTAATATCGCTATACTTATAATCGGTTGACCGATTATTCATTCAGACCGAATAATAATAATCATATGATATATACATAAATAATATGTGAGAATTATTTAATCGGCGTCGTAAAAATTATGATTTTTTTTAATAGGTTTCTTCTATATTCAAATCTCCATGGAGGTTGTAATACTTACAAACTGCATGGAGGTTGTGTATGTATATATACGAATTGCATTATGGACTTATTTGTCTAGTTGGATTATAAGATTTGCCTTATTTGTGTAAAAGATTAATCTTTTGGAGAGATATTAACTTAGACATTTTAACTTAAGATATAAATAAAAAGAGATTAATTTGTTTAGTTTCGGTTGTTTTTTTGTATCTTTTACAAAGTATTTTTTTTAATTTACTATATTGGATGATGTATATAACTATTGAAAAATAAGAAATGAAAAGACACTGAAATTACAATTAAGTTAAATTAATAATTGTTATAAAAAATGTGTACAATTTCACTATTAATTATACTAAAATTTACGTTTTTTTTACAAACAAGATAACTTCGACAGATTAAAATTTATTTTGAAGGTTAAAATCTAGCAAGATGTCTAACGTCTTAACCGTAAGCCAATTCGTGTGTTAAAAGGGACAAAGCCAACGGTATATAGAACGAGACAGAACTATCGTTCACAATACGAGTGAAAGGGATGGAAGATTCTTTAACCATTTGCGAGTAAAATACTTGGTTTCACGAATGCTTATTAATTTACTTTCCATATCTTTTATGGTATTCGTTCTACCATTATTGTGAATGAAAAATTATGTTTTTTTTTAATATTTTTAAAGACAAAAAAGAAAATAAAATGATCATATGATATGTCAAAATGACAGATTAAATTATTTGACTGTATCTCATTCAGCCATCAAATAATAATTTGTTTTAAAAAATTATTAATTTGAATTAAAATTGCAATATATTTTGTGGTAAAAAGGTAATTAATATTTAATAAGCGATTTATTTTACAGGAAATGTGAACGGTCTTAGTTTTCATTTCAATGCGTTATAAAACGTTGTTTTATTCAATAAGTTTTTATTATTAATTTATTTTATGAATTAACAGTAATTTAGAAAGGTGTTATATGTTTGGCATATATGTATGTTTGTGGCATGGTAGCTCTCAAATGAATAGACTGATTTCGATGCGGTTGTTTCATTTAAAAACTCTGTTCAGCTTTTGGAATTGATGGTAGGACTTTTGGTTTACTGTCTCAAAAATGCGAGTATTTAGTTTTTTTACAAATTTGTTATCATTATAAACTTTTTAATGTACTCTTTGCTAAGCGTGATTTAAATAACTGACAGTTATCTGACATTTGTTTGACAGTTTTTGATACAGATAAAACAAGCTCAAAATTCTTTACGTAATCTTAAAGTAAACTTATATTAGTGTTAATTAGTTATATTGGTCTGAATCAAGGACTTTAATAGTGTAAGGTCGGTATTAAAAACGAATTATAACCCTTAATTTATTCCCTCTTTATATAAACAAAGGTAAAAGCAGACGGCCTACTTAATGGAAGTTAGACTCCATTACCCATAGACATCTACATAAAGGATGTTGCGAGTTGCCGGTCTAGATTGTGAGAAAGAGAGAGGAAAGGGTGGGAAAAGGGAAAGAGCAACCGTCTCTCTCACTCATCGGACGAATACTTCACGCCGATTTATGAGAGGGTGGTACTTCACTATCAAGTTAACCCATGTTCGAGCTGTAGTAACTTGACCACAGCTAGCTTCTACTACATGTATATCCCTAGTTAATATTATTATTTTAATTTAACACAACATATTATCTTATACTAGCTTTCCGCCCGCAGCTTCGCCAGCGTGGAGTTCGGTTATATCGCGTTTCCAAGAGAACCTTTCAAAAGTCTGGGATAAAAACTATCCTATATTCTTTCTCAAGGTCAACTCTATACCAAATTTTATTAAAATCAGTTCAGAAGTTTAGGCGTGAAAGCCTAACAGACAGAGTTACTTTCGCATTTATAATATTAGTATATATGTATATTTTAACTATAAAATAGATACAAATCATTTAAATACTATGACTCATAGACATCACGTTTTTGACATTTATCTATCATGGCGGCCCTTAAATGGTTCAGTATCTCGATTGACATTCATAAATATTTATATTGTTCATGTACAAATATTTACTAATATTATATATACGTGTTAATATATAATGAGGTTTTATATATTAGTGGTCACAAAAAAATATGTCTTGTTAGATATATTTTTGTTGACAAAGATTGATGACTAATGAAACAAAACAAAAAAAATTACAAGTAAGCAAAATGAACATAAATAAATATATGATATAGAATAATTGTAATACTTCTATTAATAATAAAATATTTAATAATGAATGTAATGGGAAGTTTTATTGTATATAAAGATTTTTTTTAACACGCAATGAACGCAGGTGGCTATTAGTAATATAATAGTTATTTTGCATAAAATGTACATCCAGTCTTATAAAATAAATACAATGAGTTGTATTACAGAAATATAATTTCTATATATGTATTATATTATATGAATTCTATGATTAGTTTAGAAATAGTACAAAAAACATTACGATATAATTGATCTTTAGTTCTTTCTTCTCAAATTTCGTCTAGAAATAGAAAATTTCAAAACTTTTATATAGAATTTTGTTTTGTAAAAGCAAACAGATTATAAAATTAATAAGTTAATTTAACAAATATACATCAATACGTCTAGGAAGTCTGAATATGTAAATCGAAAAACAAAACATCGATTTCTATTGTTCATTAAATTCACAGATAAAAAAACTAATTTGACAGTTGCCATTACAAAGAAGGTTACATATGCTTTGATTTTATAAATCACTTAGTTTTGTACATTAGGAATAAAAACTCCTTACATATTAAGAATCATGTGAAAGTACAGTTGTTATTTTATAACCTAATATAGTTTATTATGTACATCCTGTTCATTATTATATTAATTTATTAGCTTATTCTATTAACAAAGGAAGTGAAATTTTTATTGACATTGTCTAGAAATAAATAAATTAATCAATTGATTAGTTATCTTTTTGATTACCATGCATATTGTTACTGCTTTTGATAGTATTATGTTTCTAATTAAGTTTTTATTTACTTTAATAAAAATTATAAGGCAATCATAATCAAAATTAATTTCAATATATTTAAAGTATGTCAATCAGAACTAAAAATAAATAAATATTTTCATATAATTATCGCTTATAAGGTCATTAACATGGCGTTATTTGTTTAAAATTAAATATTAAGCAATTGCCAGCCATACCTGCAAGGGATATTGCGTACATCCTACACGACAAGTTTCAATCGTTACAAATAAAGAACCCAAACGGATGAAACATTAAAAACTGTGCTATAAAACACCCAAATAAAAAAGTGATTTACCGATTAATGACAGCCCTAAAAAAGTAAGAGAAAGCGTTTATAACAATAGAAAAAAAGACAAACTCACCTTATAAACACTTGATTTCACTCAAATGGCGACTGTAAAACACTTTTTTTATAAAACAAAACCAACGTTTTACACAAACAAAGCGGCCTGCCTACCTGCGAAAGAATACCACCATTACAATTTTATATAACAGATACCTACTTCCTATTTAACTAGTTTATATACTCTATTTATATATAACTCACTTGATTATATATTTACTTGCCAGCTGATGGAATCCGAATTAATTTGTGATGATATTTGTATGAAATAATTATGGTTTTGGTTGTTTAGTTGATTTTAAACGTGCGCCAGCGCAGACGACGTTTTCTCGACTGGTCGATTGGGTTGAAGTGAGAATGCCGTGGTCGTAAGAGGCTTTGTGGCCACGTAACTTTAAACCACATTTTATAGACGCTATCACGACGCAGTAAAAGTCATTTCTCTATTAAAATACCCTAAAAAGTGTATAAAATATAATAAATATATAAATATAAATGAAATATACGTTATTGAATAGATTATGTATGAGAAAATATTTTTCGCACGTTTGTATTCAATGTGATATTGTTAAATACTAAATTAATTTTTAATATTAATACAAAGTGTTTAGTAAGAGAAACAAAAAAATATCTTATATATTAATTACTATACTAACTATGATATGAAGTTATAATGTGTAAATAATAAGAAAACATATGAAGAAATGGTATATGTATGTTCTTTAGTAGAAAATAAAACAAGTAAGAATATTACTCAAATTATAATATGTCTGAATGAACATTAATCACCTGTTTACTTAATTTTAAACCATAATTTGATTTAAAATACCGTTTCTAATGCATTATAATATTCTGTCTAGACTTAATAGTAACTTAATAATTTAAATATATACCTATTAACAATATTATTATAATTAAATACATTTTTTTTCTATACAATACATAATAATAACGTAGATAATATAATAATTTCTTATTTTATATCAATGAACATAAATCCTCAACCTTTTTGTTACAACTGTCAAAATTATCTGTAGAATATTCACATGTCAATTATTTAGCAATTTTTACATTATTTACAATGTCTTATTGGTAAGTTTTATATAAAATATTTATCCTCCATTAATATACATTATTTATATTTACTTTCACCGATATATATATTAGGAACGTCATTATTAAACTTTTCATATGATGTATAATAATCATTTTTTTATCGGATTTTTTATGTCTTTAGCAATGATTATATATTTTATTATCTGTCCTTGGTAACAGCTGTTCGCAGTGCAGTTTCACTGCTCAATTTGAGAGTGCTTTGATCATGCATCGTCAATTACACCACGAGAGTTCCGAAGAGTTTAACAAACACAAAAGAATCATCACTGTTAGTAAGATTGACTATACAACCATTTACGGGATATAAATTAAACCATAGACTTAGTTTTTTATCTCCATAGACTTTTATTTTAAAATGGCGACGTATTTAATTTTGATACAACCTTTTTTGGATATTAATTGATAATACTTTTGCTACAGATTTAAATCCTTTACATATATAAAAAATAGAGTTTAGTATGACTGCTTTGTGGATTAAAGAAGATTTCATATATGTTTAACAAGTAATTTGTCGTCTAATATGCACCTACCTACATATTGTCTGTTTCCTTTTAGGAGAAGTCTCATACTATGCCGCTTCCCGGTCGCTTGGATAGTTCGTTTATAAACAAAGAGAAGGGAATAAAGCGTAAGTTATTGATTGAAAATTATCCAAATGAATATTTCATTAGATACGCCGCTCAAATGTCGACTGACTCATGAAGACATCACTAGTTAATCCACTGTTGCTATAAGCAATAAGTTATACATATATATAAAATCTTAAGATTATTCTGTTTAATACAATTTCTTAGTCGTAACAGAGACTTATACTTAGGAGTATACTTAAACCGTTATTTTAAATGATTACATATACGAAAAATAGCGCCAAAATTAAATTTCATTTCAAAAAAGTGTAGCTATATATTACTTTGACCTATCATTAAGGCGGAAGAATATTTGTATAGTTTCGAAATACATAAAGTAAGGAATATATTGGTAGTTTGTATAAGAAAACAGTCAGTGTACATCTGGCTTTATGATTTAATATTGAATAACAAGTGGCGTCATCTATCCAGTGGCGGCTCGAAACTCAGCTACGCGGTTGTTGGGCAAGTTGAAGGATCGTATTTGCCGTTCAAAGATGTTTGTACATCAAGAAGAGGGCGCTGAGGCCAGGTTTACTGTTAGTTGAACAAAATACATTTGTTTTATTAATCATTTATATGTTAAATATCTATAAGATTTAATATTTTTTGCTATATTCATCTTTTGGGAAGAATTATCCTAATAGTTTTTGTGTTACGTATACTCTAAATAAAGATTTTGTTCTTTAAATGTATTTTTACGAACAGGATTTGTCTGGACAGAGCGAATGTACTTCGAAGGCGTTAAAAGAACTAGGGTCAAGTGTGAGCGGCGTTTTGGACTCATTACGTGATAATAAAGAAACATTTGCGTGTCACCTGTGTTCGTTTGACGCTGATAGGTATGAGAAAATATAATATGCTCTTCAAAAAAAACGATATTACTTAAAATCTAAATAATAATTTTTGATAAAAATTCATTTAAAGTACGAAAGTTAGGGATATTAACTATCATACACGAATCGGCAACATAATTTATAAAAATATATTGAAGAAAAATTAAGATTAAAATTATATTGTGTTACTGTCCCATAGAAGTTATTTATTGTAAAAAAATTCCCATCTGTAAGTAAAAAGTAATATTATATAAGCATTTAATCATTACAGAATAACAGTTTTGGATCGTCATTTACTCAATGATCACAAGATCGGTCTCGAGAATCTATTGAAGCTTGTTATGGCGAAAACAAAAGACGGTTTATCAGAAGAGAATCCAGCTCATATGTACGGATTAAGACAACCGTACTACAAACCACCAGATGAAATAATTGAGAGCGACGAATTTATAATAGAAACAGTTACACCAAAGATTAAAATACTAAAACATGCCTTCACTAATACTGACCTAAAGTGGACAGATATACCAGATCTATTGGATTGTAAGACGTCTGAAGAAAATGACAAATTTGTGGACGATCCAGCCGATAATGAGTTATTGGAAAAAATGCAAACTCTAAATGAATGCATGTACAAATTCGTAGACTCATCCAACACGTTGAAGAAGGTTCTGACAAAAGAGTTTCATCCGAAATCCGAAAAGAATGAATCGTACTTCAATTTAGGCTTGGGAGAGTGAGTTATGTTTTTTCTTGAATATGTAGTTATATTTAATTTATTTTGAATATTAATGTCCTAATATTATTTTGCAGTCAAGACTCGCCGAGAAATTGGGAGAAGGCTCACAGCGAGAAATTGGTGAGAAATCAAGGAAAATTCCCCGAGAGTAGGTAAGACTATCAGATATACCTACTTTTTTTTGAAGCATTATTATTACATACTCAATTTATTTATTTTTTTTAATTTCAGGAGTGAAAAAATGAAATATTCGTCTGAGAACTTTTATTTTTGATATAATTTTTATATAAGAAACTTATGAATAAAGAATTTATTTGACTATTTTTTGTTTTATATTATTTTAAATATCTAATTCAGATTCCTTGAAATATATTTAATTTTTATTTATTTGTTCTTAAAATTCATAATAATTATTTAAAAATAACAAAGTTTGCACACTCCCACAATAAAACATTGAATTCATTGAAATCAAGAAAAGTTAAAGAATTAAATTGATAATTACACATAAAGTAATAATTTATAATACTGTAATAATAATAATAGTGTTTATTTATCTCAAACACATTACAATTGTATAGATATAAACATAATCTGATAACAATGCATAATAGTAAAAGGTATTTATGTAAATAAAATCTACTGTCCCTGAGCTAGGTATAAACCTGTATTTCAGGCGACAGTACTCTCCTGTTACAAAGGATTCATTTTACAAGTTTACTAAAGTGGAATAGCGAAAAAAATCAACTCAATATATTATGTAGTGTATGCTCAAAATATTAGCGTTAACTTAACTTAGAATATAACTAGTATAGTAAAATAGAATTAGTAGTATGTGTAAAATTGAGCATGAGTATATTTGAGATGTGTTTGTGTGTGTTTGTATGTGTGTGATCGTGTGTGTGTTTGTGTGTGTGTGCTTACTAAGAACCTAAGACTTTAATTTAACCCTTTTCTGTATTTAAACTACATTTTGTAGATATTATTTTTAATAAACAAAGCAAAGCATTAAGTATAGGATGTTCAAAACCTAATTACCACCGAAATAATAGACCACTAAGTAAAATATTGTAAAACTTTATTAAAATTCAAAACACATGTAAAAATCAACTCATTCATGGGCCGTATGCTGGTTTTTGTATTCTTTATGGCCACATTGCTCACAAACTATGCATGTATTTGACTCATTCTTAATACAGTGACAGCATAAATGGGAACAAGTGTTGCCAGAATTACGGCAACACTCGTGCTGTTTAATATTATCACCGCCGGACATTTGATAATTGGTCTGGCAACACTGACATTTACCCTGCGGTTTGTCGGTTTGATAAAAGTGGGTTTTCACAACCGGCAAAACCCTAGGACCGTTTCTTATCAATGGTCTATTTGTATCGCAGCTTTTGTCATCGTTTTTTCGTACAACCGCAAACATTCTATTTATTTCTTCGATGGCGTCTTTGGATTTCGTTTTTTCTTTTATAGATTGCTTAAGCTCTTCCAACTTCATTTGTGGTATGGATGATGACTTACGTTTGGTCAAATCTAGTGGATATTGTGATTTCGCTGTTTCTGGGTGACAGCATACTACAGAATATAGTCCATTCTCATTCACTTGGCGACTCTCAATCGAGTATTGCAATAACTTACTCACGGATAGGTAATTTTTATTGTGGATGTCGTCGGTGCCAACGCAAGCGTCTTTGAATATAACAGTTTTGCATTTATTTTTGACTTCCACTTGTTTTTTATTTTGGAACACTGTGAGTACCTCGTTTAATAATGTCAATCCTTGGGTGACGTCGGGTTGTGATGTCTGTATATGTTTTCCGTTCCCGTCTCTATTTTTATTGCTCCTATTAGTATTTCTGAATTCATCTTCTTCGTCTTGTTTTTGGCATCGCGGACAAGATTTGGATTTCCGTTTACAGCATTCTACATCAATGTACTCGTCCTGGGAAACCTTTCTGTTCAGGCATATAGAACACATGAATCTATTTTGCATCTTCCTATCTTCATTCATTTTATTCGAAAAGTATTTTATCACACCGTTCTTGTAAGTTATGTCTATTTTCACGATTTTATAATTATTACAAGATACCATGTATGAATTATAAGGCAAAACGCATTATTACCTAAGATAGTCACATAAAAGAACTCTGTTGTAATTTTTTATTAAGATAAAAGACCATTTTTCGTTTTAGTCGATGTAAAAGTAATATATATAATAAAAAAAACCTTCAAAAATATTTTTAAAGTTGACAGTGATGTGATGCTTTTCGACTTTATTTAATAACATTTGAATCAAAGCAAAAAGTATCCAATATATATGATAAATTATCTACTTAGTATTTTACTCGAAATACAAATATCATTCAGAAAAAAATAATATTTCTATGTAAGGAAAGTCAAGAACCAGTAAAAGATTACGGAGTGATGGTTTACTTACCAAAAAGAAAGTTAGCAAAAAAATGACAGAGTTGGTGGAAAATTATACAATTCCCCGAAAAAACAAATAGTCAGAAATTATGTCATTTGTCATATATAAAGAAAAATATAAAAATTTGAAGTGGAATATAATCTTTACATCGTTAAAATTAAATATAGTCAAGAGTAAGTGATGATGAAAATTTTAAATTCCAAAATAAATTGATATGAAACAAACATTTAAAAAATTATTAGATGATACACATACATATTTATTACAGAAAAAATTCTATTTGACGTCCAGAGAAGTCATCGAATAAGATAGACAGGAAAAAAAATGAAATTCATCGTTAGATAATGATAAATAAGAAGAAATGAAAGATACAAAAGCTGTATATGTGACTACGTATACGCTGGATGGAAATTTGAAAAGTTCAGACGAAATCACAAACAGAATAGAGAAAACTGAGACCAGTTTCGAAGCGAGTAATGAGAGCACCAAGGACTTCGGATGTCAGTACGATATAAATAACATATGCACTTGTAAGAGGATCAAGAGAAAAGATATTAGATATTATTCATCGCGTCAAGTTTACAGGACACAAAGATATTTAAGTACGAAAGATTTTACTGATATAGGAGTTGGGGATGTTAAGACTCTGCCCAGGAAGAGAGTGAGACGAATATATTTGCCTTATGCAGTTGACGCTGGGGTTGGATCTTCAATCTTTACTACAATACCTAGTAAGGGAATTCTAACTGCTGTAATAATTTAATGTCATGATAATATTATACCATTATCGATATATTTTGTTTCCATGGACAATGGTTGTGACCATAGTTGATTTAGGAATTATCCCTATTATTATAATAAATGCGAAAGTAACTCTATCTGTCTGTCTGTTACGCTTTCACGCCTAAACCACTGAATTGATTTTAATGAAATTTGGTACAGAGATGGAGTTGACCTTGAGAAAGAATATAGAATTGTTTTTATCCCAGATTCTTGAAAGATTCTCTTGGAAACGCGATATAACCAAAATCCACGCGGGCGAAGCTGCGGGCGGGAAGCTAGTATTTAATAATTTTAACCAAACGTTTTATATATTTCAGATAGAACTCAAAACTTCTGTGGCAGTTATTATGATCAAAAGAAAACATCGTCGAAGTGTGTTGGGGGCTTAATGGAAAACACAGATATTTTGGCAATAAGTGTAAAATTATCACCAATTGTGCAAACAAAATCTGGCTCAAATAGCCCTAAGATTATGAGTATAGAACAAGTTAATAATGCTAGTACCTTAGCCAATGAATCCCCGAGTGACAAAACGGAACAACTTCAAGTACCGAGTAATAAATTAGAAAAAAAGGAACAAATGATTAACGCAGTATCAGGTCTGGCTTTAAAAACTACTGTAGATAACAATAAACCTAAAAACATGTTAGAATCATCTGTAGATGATGGAAAACCAAAACCTGTTAATACAAGCAGCGACCGAAAAGATTACTCATCAGATTCATTAGTACAACACGTTCATAACTTAGAAAACCCTAGCGACTACAAGCAAAGCAGAACTTCCATCGATTTTATAGAAAACAAGCTGGAAAGGGAATACAGAAAAATATTCTCCACTAAACCTAAAGACCACAAACCACAAGAAGAAAAGACGGCTTCAGATTTTAAAAGCACCTCAACGCTGCGAAGACGATTCGAAGCTTTACGGCGAGGAATAAATAAAAAGGATGAACCTAAAACTGATTTTGTTACATTAAAAATATCCAGCCGAGTCAGTGTTCCGAGTAAGAAAGATGTTTCCATAGTATCCGATCCACCGTCATTAGAAGCGAGATCGTATTCAAATACAAAAATATTTAGTCCTTTGCAATCTAGAACAAGTCCTAAAAAGAAGAAACTTCCAGTACAACCATCACCTAGGAAATCATTTACAGGTAAAAGATTGATCAGCCCGAATTGGTCTACTGACAACGTAGTTAGTGATCAAGGAGTGAAGGGCATGTTTAAATTATGGGGGAAAAAATTTAACTTAGATGAAAATAACGTCGGTAGAGAATCACGTGAAAATATTAAGAATAAAGTCGAAATTGTCAAAGAAGAGGTGCCATCGAAAGAGAAGAAACAAGGAAAGAGATTTTCATTCTTTCGAAGAAAAAATAAAGAGAAATCTAAACAAGTTTACAAATCCAAGAAAGGTGTGACAGCTGGTCGATGCGAAGTGGATGGTTTGATGATAAAAATCGGTGCTGCAAATGAATATCCCCCAGAACACACGAACGGTAGGTATCGACGTAGACCAGTCGAATTGGAGGGTATCTTAAAAAAATCGTGGTTACAGAGATACGTAGATAGCAGTGTCGATTCAAAACACAGCGCTCAAATAAGATGGAATAATAACATGTACACTACAAGCAGCAGCACGGTTTTCGAGTTAATAGATTGTGTTTACAAAAATACAGGACTTATTTTTAAATCCAAAAGCGAAATGACCACCGCGGAATCTTCCTACTACCAGTCCTTTGTCAGTCCTCAAATAAATTTCATGCAACAAAGCATCCAAGCCTGGATGATACCTCAAATAACACGCGATAAACAAATAATAGCTTTGAATAATAACAAAAAAGATAATAGGAAGATACAAGTAACATACTCGAATCAAAAATGGTTTATAGAGAAGTCTAAAGCTTTCGGACGCAATATAGAAGTGGTTTTACATTCAAAGAACTTTGTGGAACACGAAAAAGGGGATAGTTCTGAATATATAATGATTGATATACCTGAAGGCTACTTCTCCGATACAAGCAGTGATGAAATAGTCAGCCAGACTAGTGACGAACAAGTTTATAACATTGTAGAATATGAAACAGCTAAATCCAATTCCTATGTTAAGAAATATAAAAAAGACAGCAAAATGGATACAGGAGATTACGCAACTCGTGATATTCACGTCACAGTAAGCGTTAAGGACAGTAAAAATAACGAATCAAATATATTGGAAACTGTTATAAAGAGGCCGCCTTTACACCGGACGGTGGTCGTACAAGGTAGTAACGTGTATGTACCAAAACGGTGTGACGTCATTGGAGTAGGAATTATAACACAGCGGGACATACGAGATATTAAAAAACCCATGTAAGTAAAATACGGTTAAAAGACTTCTTTAGAAATCCATAATGTATCTTGTCTTTTAAATAATACATAAGTAATATTTGATGTAAAATTTTTAGCCTGAAAATACAAGATGAACTGACAGACGATTCAGAACACACTTTGCCTCCTCAAAAGAAGTGCGAGTTTGCGGAAAGTTACTTACAAGATTATTATCGAAATTGGACGCCACTAGGAATAGATATGTTTTCTTGGTGCGTGAGCGATACTCATTTGCGAGGTTCGTCTGATTCATGGAACAGTTTAAATCAGGGCGACGGTTCGAAGTCCTGCCCAAATATTTTCGATGATTATCAAGCATCGACCATTGTGTCCTCGTGCAATACGTCTTCATGTAGTCATTGTCAAAACCTAGAAATGGAACAGAAATCAGAGGATCACAGAAAGTGCAGACAAATTTTTAATTTTAAGAGAAAAAAGTCAGATTTTCCAGATAATTTTTCGGATGGAAAACGGGTGCTACCGAAAGACTCATTGGAAGTGTTCAAACGACGAAAGCTTTATGCTCTAAGTAATAGAGCCATTTGGAAGACCATGGAAACAGGTTCTGAACCGAATTGCGTACCAAGTAATGAAGATAGAGAGTGTCAAAATTATTCAAATGAATGTTTACCGGTCGCATGTGATAAGAAACCGAAAAAAGAATGTAAGAAACACGTATCGATGCCCAGCTGCGATGTTTTGAACGACTTATTAAATGAACAGCTGTCGAAAAAATGTGCTGAGGGAATCCTAGCATTTAAAGGTGCAGCATGTGATGGTTGCAAGAAGAGTGACTGTCTCCCAAAACACGCTAGAGTTATACCAGCACCAACTTGTACAATGCCTCATCACCCTGTTGAAGATCCTTGTACGATAAAGCGGATACCAACTTGCTTTAAGACTCCAGCACCCTGTGACGTAAGCCCTGAGGCGCCGCCCTGTGCTGTAACGCCGCCTTCACCACGACCTTGTTCGCCGCCTTCACCACGACCTTGCCCGCCACCTTCTCCACCATGTATAAAGAAACCACCGTGTTCTCCTCCACCATGTGTAAAAAAACCACCGTGTCCTTCTCCACCATGTATAAAGAAACCACCGAGTCCTTCTCCACCATGTATAAAGAAACCACCCTGCCCTTCTCCACCCGTTGTTAAAGTACCGCCATGCGCAATTTCTAAACAAACATCTCCTATTAACCCCCCCTGCAGTCAACCCAGAGTTATACCACCAAAAGTACATTCTCCACCACCAATGGAATTAGCACAGAGGCCTTGTTCTTGTTCACCCAAGCCACAGGATTCACAGTGTAATACTCCGACTTGTTTAATAAGAAAATTGTCTCAAAGTTCTTCTATATGTCTACCCGAGCCGCCATGTCAAGTTCCTCAACCGTGTGTAGTTCCAGACCCACCCTGTATTACTCCTCAGCCACCTTGTAAGCTGCATCAGAGCTGCTGTTCGTCTGAATCCCTTTGTGCTAAACATCATTCTACCAGAAAACGTTCGACGTCATGTCAATCCACATCTCCTATACTTAAATATAGAAAATGCCCAAGTCAAGAATTCCCTTGGCCAATGAAGAACCAATTGTCCAATACGCCATCTCGAGAATCAAGATTAAGCAACCGGAGTTCAGGTTCGTGTTTGGACGTAAAACCACCCAGCTGTCCAGCGAAAGAAACAAAAAAACCAAAATGTCCACCAGCGCCAAAAGAATGTCCCTCACCACCTCCAAAGCCATGTAAACCAAAAATACCTGGCCTTCATCTGAAAAAGTTACCAATACCAAAATGTCCATCAAAGGATTGCTATGAAGGTGGTGTAATACGATTAAGTTCCCGTGAAAACATTACCGTGAAGTTGAAACGCCCAACTGATAGTACCGAGGAAATAAGAGGCGCTTGTAACATAAAAGTTCAAGACGAAGATGGACGGACAATGTACGAAAGACGAAACTATCATCGCGAGAGCAGGATAAATGTAGTAAAAGACTTGTACAGAGATTCGACTATACATAGAGTTACGACCGAAGATACCGATATACCAGATGAAAACCTATTAGAAGAGAAAATATACAATAGCGTACCGAACATCATTGAAATAAACTTGAATTTAAAATTCAAACAAGGTGAAAGGAAGAAAAATCAGTGCGAAAATTGTAGCGTCGCTCAGAAAGATTTGGAACAAATATCTGACATACAACATGAAGGCTCTAAGGACGTGTATCTTGTACAAGATCAGCAGAAAGCAGCCAGAGGCAAATCTGGTAAAAAAGACCTGGATATAAAAATTACAATAAAGAACTTCAAACCGGACACAATTCAAACGAATCAAACCGCTAATTGCGCCAAAATAGACGCTGACGAATTTTCAAAGAATATATCGAAAAAATTCCATACAGTATCAACTGGTTACAGCGAAGTGTTCGAACATAAAGCATTTTCTGTACACAGAACGACGATAAACTTAACAGAATCTACAGAATATAAAAAACAAAACAAAACTTCCGAAGTGTTACCTACAAAGGAGACATTAGAGAAAAAACAAACAAAAGAAATGGAATCTGATGTGATATTAACGAAAGATTCCACAACTATAAACACTGCGAGCTCATTGGAAAAATTCACTGAAAGCGTAAACATTAATGAGGAAAAGACATATGGAACTAATGATGAGAAATTCGACACCGGCTCTACAACTAGCGCGAACGAATTCGCTACTAACTCAGATGTAAAACCAAAATCAATCGACAGTATACCCAAAATACACGACAAGGAAGAAAAGAAGGCGGTTTTGAAAGCAATATTCGAAAACTCTGACAAAATAAAGAAGAAACCCAATAAAAGTAAGATGGAAAACATCAAGAAGATGCTGCGAGCAGTTTTAACATCCGATAGCAGTGCTCATGAAGATATAGCAGTTAACAATGAACTGGCTAACGAGCTTACATATGCTTCACTAAAACCCACTTACTTTAAGAATTCAGATAGTTTGACGAATTATTACCTATACGATAGCTCAACTTCCTTAAACAAGAACAGTCATTCTGATGTCGAAGAAGCTGTTTATCCATCTAGTGATAATACTGATGCCAGTGACGATTCGCCAACCACTGGTGGATGTCTCTGTAGCCATTTTGCCGCTAAATTAAACATCCCTGACAAAAATTGCTGTTGCTGTCGACCAGACAAAGTGGATCAGGAAATCTTTTGTAATCTCATAGAAGATAACTATTATAAATACAAACCCGAATACGTGGACGTACATACACAAGATTCGAAATATTTGAACGAAGATGCGAAATCAAATTATACAAATAAGATAGATTATGTTGACGACAAAATGAAATATAACAGAACTCAAAAGGCTTTTAAACGGCAAATAGGTCTTCATCCACGTGGAATAAAAACCTCTCACATTAAACGAGTGCACAGAGCAACAGTTCTTGGCATTTCAGATGACGACAAAATCATAGTTCTAAACTCCAACAGTGAGAGCTATATACGAAAATCTAAAAGAATCAAAGCCGAAGATATTCTACAATCGCAGGAAACTAAGAAGGCAGTTTTGGAAATATACGCGGAGAAGACTATATCTAATGAACGTATTGTTGCTAAATTACCAAAGTTTGTGTACAACAAGGAGAGCGAGATTTGTCACTACCACGAGGTCGTCTCCGGACGTGGTCGTTCCACCATCAGCAAACGGGATGTGGTCGTAATGTCCTTCATATAACTATTCATATATATATGTTAACGTGTTGTCTTTTTTATAAATAAATTATACATGTCTGTTTCAATGTTTTATTTTTAACACATTAAGTATCAAAATCGTATAAAAGTATAAACTGATTTAATACAGTAACATTTACACAATAAAATTATAATTATTTAAGAGTTTTTTGAAGTTATACTGAAAGTCAAACAAAAAGAAAATGTATTAAAACATCTTAAAAGAAAATTGTCTTTTGACATCTACAAGACAAACACAAGAAAGTCACTTATCGTACTGAGTTGGTATAAGCTTTAATATTCGGAGGATAGACGTGAATTTAACAACTATTCATTATATATTACCTTATATATGTATAGAGAAGCAATTTATTTTCGAATTTGCTTGGCTTTTAGTTATATACATAATATATAGATAAGAAAACCAATCTCGAAATTAACTAACAATAATCTCATTCAAGAAAACATTGGATTTTTAATATAATGTATTACTAAATAAAGTTTTTTTTAATTTTTGATAAACACATAATAATGAGGTATATTACATATATATAATTCATGATTTGGCAAAAATATATATTGCGTACAGTTTTTGTTATATTTTAAAATTAATCATCCTTTACTATGTTTATCCACAATGCTTATGACCTTTTTAATACAAAGTATTTTATGGTTGGTTATTAGAGAGAATAGCTTGGACAATGGAGGTGAGCGTTTAACGTTTGATAGGGACCCCTTAAACCTACACCTGGGTCACAAGTCCCAGTCACTGTTGAAGCTCCTCTCACTACAACGATGGACCCGACACACGCACCGTGAATACATGGAATGATGAGAGGTTTCGTCTCTCTATATATATTAAACCTACACCTGGGTCACAAGTCCCAGTCACTGTTGAAGCTCCTCTCACTACAACGATGGACCCGACACACGCACCGTGAATACATGGAATGATGACAGGTTTCGTCTCTCTCTTATAAACAAATAGTTTTAATAAAAAAATCAAACATTATATTTGACTTATTTATATTTTAACTTATAAAGTATAAATTAACATGAGATTTTAATGTAATCTTTGGACATTTAATTTCTTAATCATAATACGGCTAGTTTCTTCGATATTCTGTTGGCTAAAGTCGTGTCTGAAAACAATAATATATCAATCTATGAAAATATTATAAAACAAGAAATAAATGTAAATGGTGTAATCTGCATTCAAATTTGCACCTTCCCTCACCTTAAAAAAGTCGTTAACACAGTAATACAAACATTAAAGTGTTACAAAACTATAGACAGGTCAACGAAAATATTATTTAGTATGACATGTCTATAATTTTATAAGTCTATGTGACACACAGTGCATATTAATAATTTGTGCCATACATATAAACAGGTGAATAACCAGAATCTCCTTTACCCAAAACACAAAGAAATTAAAGTGAATTATACAAGTACAATTGTGCTTATTAAGTTTATTATTTCACAGATATATTATATATATTGTATTCCTGTATATATATTTATATGACAAAATATACACTAAAATATACTTAAGCAAAAAAGTTCATGAAATTATTTTACTTCATTTCTAATATAGAAATATTTTTCAACAATTTTTCGTATGTGTATATAGAATGTACATAATTAAAATTTGTGCTTTTTATATTTTTTTATCATCCGCAATTAGCTTTAATTTTTATTCTAATATTAATTTCTTTACTATTTAGTATGATTTAAATCAATGGGTTCTTTGATACTATCAAAATTCATCCAAATATTACGTGGGAGATGAATTAAAAAGAAATTTAGGGTAATTCAGTTAAAATTAAAACGCCAGATAACTTTGTAACACGTTTAATCGAAATCTTGATATACAAATAAGTACACGAACGAACACAGCTAGCGAACAGTCACGAACCTTACCACAAGTCTGAAACGTCACACGGATAGTTACGAGTATTTATTTACGAAGTTGATAGACGATAAAACTTGTGGTATACGACTAATATAACAATACAATACTGACGAGTGAATCTGTTTATATATTATATAAAATGCTGACATATTTAGGAAACAATATATGTATATATATATATATATATAAAAAATTGTGTTAGTTACGCTATTTATAACTCTAAAGATAGCTGTAGGCATATGGTTGAAAATTGATGGAGAGATAGCTTAGAACAAGGAGACGGACATAGGACATTTAATTCTGTTCGATCGAAAAAAGAAAAAATATAAGTTTATCAAATCCAATATCTTCTTATCTATTGTCTTTAAGGAGGAATATAGTTCTCCCGGTCAGCTATACATTTCTAATTTTGAAACTAACGCAGACGAAGTTGTAAGCAAAAACTAGTATATATAATATGTACTTCTAACTTTTAAATATATTGCAATTTTTGTACATAGTAACCGAAATGAACAGCCTTTTTATAATTTCAACAACTCGCCAGTATGAAAAACCTCAGCAAAAAGGTCCGTTATGACTACAGATAAAAAATTACAGAAAAATATAACATTAATTATTGGCGGGAATATATGAGTATACAAAAGTTATAACAGTTACATTACCACCGGTCTATTATTAAAGAAAACAATAAGTTGTTTTATTTTAACTTAATAATACATATTATACTCAATAAAGTGAAAATTTATTACTATTTTCATTTATTCTGAGGTATTTTAAACAAATTAGTTTTGTTGAGAAATTATTTTTACGTAGTTTACCGACACACTTACAGTTTTCATTAACAACAGAACCGATAGTAAGAACATTTTTCAGTTAAACACGAAATTGATTAACATTATCCGATATACATTTCATTATTAATATATTATAATAATCCCAGTGCAATTTGTATGCAATTTTGCAATTAAGAATGCAATTCAATTGAATTAATTTCACTATAGTGGCACATTTATATAGTATTTTTATTAGATGAAATTAATAAATGGGTATTTGACATCGAAATGTTTGTAGACAAATAAATATGATTTTGCGATCATTTCTTAAGAATTTATTGGGTTATTTTTGAAGAATAATTTCTTAAAATAAATTAAATCTATTTCTGGGATAATTATAATTATATTACATTAAATATTTCTATTAATTACAACAGAGCACTCACAATAACTATAGCATCCAATACACTAATACCGATTATACATTTGAAGCAATAAATGCATTAAAGATTATATATATTTATTATTAATTAAAATAAAAACATAATTTACATAAACGAATAAATTATAATACTAAAGCTGGTTACACATTATATTTAAGATATAAATACATTGAGCAAAAACAAAAAATAATATTTGTACTGGTAAGTTATACATACGAGATTCAGCTAATATTTTTTTTTATTATAATATTAATAAACATTGAGATTCAGCCTCCTCAAAAGAGTTTTTACTTGACAAACACGCTTAAATATAAAATATTTACTAACAAATAAATAATATACATGGCAGTTTACGCTTTCGAAATTACATGATTATTGTAGAATTAAATACTTGTAATACAAGATTTTTTTTAAAGAACAATAAATTAATTCAGTTTCGTTGTCACATATACGGCTGCCAAATGAAGAAATTTTATATTCTGTTCTCAATTACAAGTGGACATAGACATTGTTTTTGTAATACTTAATTTAATGTTTTGTAAATGAGAACAATCGTTCTTTCATACAAATTATCCTCAATTTTCTGAAGAATTAAATGTTTATTTGAGAACAGTTATTAATTTTTTTATTATAGATGACTTTTAGCTATATTTCTCGTTTTCCACGTGATGTTGTATTTCGTACGAAGATATTGTTATGCTCGAAGTTTCTGAAGTCAGATGCGTTATCTCCACTTGTTGTACCTAAACAATTTTGTATATCTTAACATATGACCAAAGAAAATGGCGGAAAAATTGCTACTACATAACACTATTTTAATAAATAAAAGCTTACCTTATTATATTAGAATATTACTTTCCGCTATACTCACTTAAATTCATGCAATTTCGTGCTTCTAAACTAAGCTTTATCATGCAGGATTAAAAGCTGGGACCTTCGCTTTGTTAGAAAAAAAAACATCTGACAGCTCCCTAATAAAATGACGTAACGAATTTTCAAAGGTTTTTTTTTTGTAATTAAATCAAGACATTTTAATTCCAAATGTATTTATTCTATCTTAAATAATTAACAACAACGGAATATACAAAGATTCAACAACGACGTAGGTAATAGATTATCAAACGTCATGTTTCTTGTAAGAGCGATCGAAAAAGGTTTTCATAAAATAAGTTTTTATATATCAGCATCAACTATTTCAACGATTGCATTTATAACAGGTTAACAATAATATGAAAAATATTAATAATTTAACGGATTTTTACAGACATTATATAAAATAAAATTATTAGGTAAAAGATAGAATTACATATAATAATAAAGTTGTGTATAAAAATATTGAATACGGAAAAAATATGAGGAATCAACTCTTACAAGAAAGTATTTAAGTAAATGTGATCTGCGGATATTTTTTTATTATACAGGGTGACTGGTGAATTACTATCAATATTTAAGGAGAATACTCGGTACATGATTCTCATTCGAATTATGTAAAAAAATAGGTACTTAATTTTTGACCAAATTTCCGTATAAATAAATAAAGTGTGGACACGTTCCAAGTGTTCCAAGTGTGGACGCGTGCGGCGGCGTGCTGATACAACACTACACTGTGTGAGTGTATGTGTATACCTAATCTGTAGGGTGTTCACACGATGCGTAATTAATTACATAACTTTTGGTTAACTTTACTTAGAAGTTTATTAATATTTATGTTATATTAATTTTTATTTCGTCATATATGATCGTCAAATATCACGTCCTCAAATATCGATAGTAATTCACCAGTCACCCTGTATATACGTATATTGTAACTAAAAAAAGTTTACAGTTACTAGAAGTATATTAAAAATTCACTTATTTGGATCGAAATTAATCTTAAATAAAAAATAAAAATACATAAATGTTTACATAAGTTGAACAATTTAAGAATATTTATATATTTAACAATACATTTTACAAAATACCCACAGATCTTTAAAATACATCAAGAACACGCACATAAGCTGATTACATAAAGCGATCATATTGCATTCAAAACCCTTCACTATATATATATATGATAATATTAAAAAATATTATTAATAAATTCGCGTATATTTCACATTTTGTATGGCCAACGAAACGAGATAAATTATGTAAACAGAATTCTAAGCGTCATTATAACGAGAGTACTAATTATATAGAAATATTTGATCTAAAAATAAATGTACGTATTTATTAACTAATTCCAACAATTCGTTACATTTTAATTATTTTTAAAAACAGTTAATATTATTCAACATTACTGAAAAATTCTAATTGAATTATAAATTGCCGAGCACTTATTTAGTCAGTAATATTTTTTTGTTATTTGAAGCTTTGTTATTACTTTTTATCTCTTTTCGTTGGCACCACTATACAGAAACATTATATTTAAAATCACTATAAACAGTGCGAAAATGGCTGAAAGATATTCCTTTAATGCGTTTCACAACAAAAAACTTCTTTTATTTAATCAAAATACGCGAATTATTTCATTAATAAATCCTACTAATAACATTGGTCGGTCAATATTGGCAACACCGAATTATGCAGATTATATAACAGTGCTACAGCTATTTCAATTATTATTAATATAAATTAATTCATTAACAATTTTATTAACAAATTTGTACTTTAAAAATTAAGTGACGTTTGTTATATTATCAATAGTTCCAATAATGGAAAATTGGCGCGAATCCGTAATGAACAGATAAAAAAACATAGGTAATGTCATTTACAAGAAGAATACAACAAATTTATTTATTAACTTGTGATTCACGACTTATTATTGTATACCTAAAAAGACTGTTTTTTGTCAAAATAATGTTACTTTTTTGAAAAGGAAACGAAGTCAGGGTACAATTATGAATTAGTACAAAACTGAAACATAATTTTCTATTATATTATTATCTACTAATTATAAAAAAAAATACGAACAATCACTTTTTCTATCAAGAAAATTATATTATCGAAATAATAGACACAGATTATATAGAAATATAACAAATTATTGCTAGTAAAAACCGCGCCAATTCACTTCTCAAAATGGAAGCACCCAATTTTGTGTAATACGCGAATACATATCTATAAAGCTAGCTGAGTTTATATAAAAAACAATGCGTTTTATTACTAATCATTTATAATCTAAGTCTACTTTTTGTTTTAATTGCAACTAACCCACCAGAAGCAGCGTCCAAAAATAAATGTAGCGTTATTTGTATTATAATATATTACGCGTGTTATATAATATGTTGGTTAGAAGAGATATAAATGTAATAAAAAAATATTAAATACTATATATCGTCGGTGATAGTGCAAATCCGCGTATCTACATTGGAAACAGATCAGAAGAAAGTTTAAGATGAAATATTTTCTATATTAACGACTTTTAAAGTAACTTTTTTAACAATTAGTAATCATTTAGTGTTTAATTTATTACTAATTGTGAAAAAATACCTTTAAAGTTGTTAATATAGAAAATATTTCAGCTCAAACTTTCTTCTGATCTGCTTCCAATGTAGATACGCGGAATTATCTGATAGTTACGCGGATATGCATAATCCCCGACTATATATTACATTTATAACGCCTCTCAACCAAATTAATTAGTATTCAATAAACTCTTTCACCCCTTAATACAAGGTCACACACATACATATTAAATGATAATTACGATTGAAAAACCAAAACCGTAACTTCTAGTGAGAAATGCGATCTTGTTGTAAGGGGACATCACTATTTATTAGTAACAAGTCATTTAATGTCAAATGAAACGGTTTTGGCGGGAAAAATATTATATATTTCCACGAGTTTATTTAAGTAAGTTCTTTTATTATTCTGTAAACTTAATCATGTAAAAGATAACAGTATAAGTTTAAATTAAAACCAATTAATATAGTTTTATTTAATTAACCTCTATATTCACCGGTCATTTGACATAATGACTCAGTGCGTTAAAGCTATACAATATTAACTATTTATATAAAAAATATTTCATATAAATAGCTTTATATTTGTCTTTTTAATCCGAGAGACGTTATGGAGTTTATAAACTGTATCCTTAAGACGAGTCCACATCGTCACTACATACGTAGCGTTAAAAGTTTTTTATTAATAAAACTTCGTAATTAGTATTAATGTAGGTGATGAGAAACGGAAAACAATACGTATGTAGTGTAAAGCAAACTAGTAGTAAGCATACTGAACTAAAATCTTGTATGATTTAAATTGTCTGAAATAGCTTTTTGTTTTTTGATTCTTCTATAATCAATTTGTTAAAGTCCTACCAAAATAACGTTCTATTTTGTATATTTAATTTCAGTATTAAATTTTTTGTCTAATTACGAATATATTTTATCATATTTGTAAACAAAATACATCCATAATATCTCTTGCAAATGTTAGTACAAGCCAGTGACTAGTGCTGAATGTGTGTGTACTCACCACTTCGCTAGTGAGGCAGTTGATGGGTGTGGCGCGCGGCGGGGGAGGGGGCCGCGGGGAACGACGGCCGGGGGTCACACGGCCCGGGGTCATAGGATACCCTGGGGTAATGAGAGACATCGTTAAACACACATATAAATGTTCGTGGTAATAAAAAGGAGCGAGAATCCTCATAAACGATGCTGACAAATTTTCCATTTTTATTTGGAACTAAAACTAAATACATTTCAAACGGAAAAATGTATGATGAAATACTTCTCTTTTGTTTTGTACAGATATATAATATGTGTTTAGCCAGAAAAAGAAGGCGAACAAATCCTTTATATCCCTACTAATATTATAAACGCGAAAGTAACTCTATCTGTCTGTCTGTTACGCTTTCACGCCTAAACCACTGAACTGATTTTAATGAAATTTGGTACAGAGATAGAGTTGACCTTGAGTAAGAACATAGGATAGTTTTTATCCCAGATTTTTGAAAGGTTCTTTTGGAAGCGCGATATAACCGAACACCACGCGGGCGAAGCTGCGGGCGGAAAGCTAGTTCATATATATATATATATATATATGTATACTTTCTACGTAACAATATAATGATCAAACCTTGTTCACTACTGCTAGATTCAGTGAAGCTAGGAGTTCCTTCAGTCCAAGTTGGCGTGGAGCCTTCAACAGAGGCGGGCGGAGTCCAACAGACGCTGTAAAAAACATAATGATAGATAAATAAAATGTAATAACTTCCTTCAAGCGATTTTGTATAAATAAAACGATTGAAATTAAATTGACAACTGTTTTGATACATCCAAAATATTATGTATTCTTTATATTCAATAGATCAACAGTTAAAGAAAATTAAGCATCAATGTTTAAGTCCTAAAACGTTTGTATTTAAATGCCTGAAACGCTTTTGATACCACATATACGAATCATGGAGTCAGAGCGTACAAAAACTGTAATAATTACATGTTTGTCCAAATATTTCTTCTAGAATCTTCTATAAATAAATAGAATATAGATTTTTTGCAACAAATAACTTACTTAGCCTCATTGCTCCTTGCACTGCTCAACGCTGCTGGTGTTAATGCTAATGATGACGCAGAAGATGTTGTCATGACGCTCGCACTTGACGCGCCTCGTCTCCTCGAAGCTGATGATGAAGTGGTTGAGGAAGAGTTCGTCCGACATGTTCGTGGAGCTTCTTCAAACGGCGGCGGCGGGGTAGAACAACAGGATAGCGGCACCGTAGCTAAAAACGACTAGCATTACTCACTAGCTTTGGATGACAGCGCTGACAAATATCAGGATATAGCTATGATATGATAAACTAACTAATGTTAATGATATCTAATGTTAATTCTAGTGGCAGTATAAAATAGCAAACAACGAACACAGAAGCCGGTAGTAACATACATATATATACAATTCAAATATAACATCATTAAATTGATTTAGGTGCAATTTCCTCATATTGGTTAATCATAATTAGATAATTTCTTCAAATTCTTTCCTCATTTGGAATATTATTTTATCTGATACTACAATACTCTCTCTCTTCTTTGGAACTTCTTTCATTCTTGACATCACTGGGGGTATAGGTTCGGGAACTCTAGTCACATTGAATTTCCGTATTTTTTCACTTATATCGGTTTTGGGCACAACACCAACAGGCAGGGGTGGTGCTTTGCCCTTTTTGGGTCTCCGTTTGACAGGGACGTCAGTCTTGGTCTTTTGTTCAAACATTTTCTTGGTCTCTTTAACAACATCTCGTCTTTCTATCCGCGAGATGCTATCTCTAGATGAAGTTACAGAACAAGTATCGGTTTCCGATTGAACTTTGAGTATTTGCTTTTGGAATAGATCAATTTTCGCCTTAGCTTTCCTTTCGCAAACAATATCCTCTTTGTTCGTCTGTTGTGAATGTTCTTCCGCGTATGTTTTTATTTCTATCTTGGGTTTCGATTTCGTTCTGAACACGCCGCGTGTTTTATCTTTAATAGACTGATTGAATGTGAACTTTTTGGTCAGACCAGTCATTAAACCTCCTTTGTTGTCGTCAGTTTGATCTTTCTTGTTCGGTGCTTTCTTGATTGTATTTATTCGTGCTATGAAACCGGTTCTCTTTTTGTTTTTGACGGTTTTCTTAGGTGAATACCTCGGTGATTGATCCGAGTCATCGCTGTCTGGTGTATCGCCGCTCCTTGCTTTACGTAACTGCGCCTGTGACAGAGTATTTATAACTATCTTATTGTCATCACCGATTTCGTGGACCATGATTTCATCACTCGAATCAGTGAAGGAATCTCCATCGTAGTTCCCCGTATCTAAATGCTCTTTGACGGCATCCTTAATGTTAAATTTGGCCATCATATTAGACTGAGATATAAGATCGTTGCTTCTCTTTCTCTCGCTTATACTGTCCCCCTCTTCAGCGTAGCCCAGGAACGAATTAGATGCTACCAACTTTGATATTTTTATGGAATGATCAGATATAGAAGGCGGTGTACGGCATGCGGGTGCGTTATAACACAAATCATGCCCATAAAAACCAAAATTGTCGTCACTACTTGTAAAAGGTGTCTGAGGTGGTATATCATTTACTGATATGTATAATTGATAATCACCTTTCGTCTCGAGGCTTGATGTTTGCGAGTTTGAACCGCCTCGTTTCGTTTTTGGCGAACCTCGCGGCGGGACCGGCGGTGGTACCCTTTGCTTCTGGGATCCTTTCAAAACAGCTGGAAAAGCTACATCCGGTTCCGATACAGTTTTAACCGAGACTTGAGGCAATTTAACCGAAGTCGATACTGGCGATGTTATAGATGTCGATGTTATTTGAGCTGTGACATCAGTGAGGGACACTACAGGGTATAAAAACGCACGTCAAATTGTATAGATTTATTTTATAAGTTGTATAAATAAAATATACATCACATAAATAGTATTGGCACCGGAAGAATTTAAAGCAAGAGTAACAAAATGTTTGTGTGACAGCGATAGTAAGTTATATGTCCAAAATAGCATGTTTGTATTTATATTTTTTATATTGAGCTTGACCGCCAATGTATTGTGTATTGGTGCATTAAGAATTAGCATGCAGTAAGGAAAAGGTTCAAGTATACCCAATAGTAGAATCCGGCCATAGCAGCGTTGAAAAACAGAATTATGACAGTAAGTTGATATTACGAAATATTTTATCATTAGAAAAGATATTCACTGTATATAATCATTTACTAAATATATGATCATAAATATAATCAGTTACATACTGTATATAATCATTTACTAAATATATGAAATTAATAAATTATTTTATGTCTTGTATAATCTGTCAAGAGATGGCAGCACTTCATTATACGGTATATAAATATATTTATTTACCGTATAATATATAGAATTATACACTAAATATGAATCTCACCTGCTTTGACGGCCACACTACTTGACGTTGTAGCTCCTATCCATAGAATGCGTGCAAAAATCATATATATTTAGTATAATTATAGAAATGGTTAATATGTATACTGTTTCAATGAAATATTGTTAGGTTTCATTAATTAAAAAAATATCAAACCATGCACTTATACTGTTAAACTAAATTACACATTGCATAAAAATATGATAAATATTATTGAAATATTTAATTTTAATATTACCCCATATTATGTATACTATAATTTTAAACAGATTTGAAATATGATGGATATATAAGAAAATAAATAAAAGTCGATTTTATGTATAAGCTTGTATTTTTTATTTTACATAATGTATATAAGTTATAACATATTAAATTAAAATAAAATATTTATATCATATCTGTAATAGTTGTGATTATATAAAATCAATTTGTTACAAGATAAACATTCTTTTAGTTTTTATTTATTACTGGTATAAATATCAAGTGTCAAATAATGAAAAAAACATCTTAATACTTATATAATTAAACTAACATAAGAAAAATTAGGACAAAGAAAATCTCTGATATTACTATATACTTTTATTTTATATATACACAATAATCAAATAATATTTAAAGTTTTTAATACAGATATTATTAAGAATAAATAATGAATTAAATATACATCTTGTGACATAATTTTCTTAATACATAATCCTGGAACGACATAACATTATGTCAATTTTAATTTCTATACTTAGAACTTAGCACTGGTTAATCGAGAGATTCTAATTATAATTATATAATAATTAACAGAATTCTAATAAATATAATAAATACTTTAACATGATCAGTCACATAACATTATTAGCTTGAGCACAAAGCGGGCGATGGATCAACTTGAACTCTCAAACAGGACTTTAGCTGTTAGATAATAGAGTCGTTTTTTGTATAGCAAAGCTATATGATTTTTTGCCGTCAAAATATTCTTGTTTTTCAATCAGCGGGTGGTACTACTATAATAGTACTACCACTGTCTCTTCCAGAATATATTTCTGCATTTTCTAACGTCTTTACGTATACAACTTCTTTTATGAATCTCTCCGAATCTGAATCTTGTATATATTCATCACCATTTAGTTTTATGACTGATATATGTTCCTTTTTATCATCATTCATTTGTGTTTCCACGTTTTTCATCGTATTCATTACCGGTGTTGGTGATTCTGGCTTTATGTACACCGTCTGTGCTGAAATCACTTTCCTAAACCTCATATCTTTAGGTAATGTTGATGTCTCTCTACCCTCATTTATGTTCGGTGTAACACTTTTCGCTCTGTAGCTCGTTAAGTTTTTTGGCAACGTGTTAGCCATAGTGATAGTATTATCAATATCATTTCTCTCTGGAATGCTATCAGTTTTAACTAGACCGATGTCCATGAAGAATTTCTTGAACTTCTCCACGAATGTTGGTGATTTGGCGCGATTCAGACTGCTTGATAGTCGCTCGTTGGAATGTTCTAGACTGACCTCGTCTATTTTCTCCGGAATGTTCGACATAGACTTATGTTTCTCAAGGTTTCGTTTCTTCCATTTATTATCGTCTTCATCTATGAATGGTATATCCTGTAAATTCTTTTCGTTTCTAGTATCCACTGCGGCGTCTTTCAATATTTTGACTCCAGGAGTGTATGTGTGTGTATCTATATATATTTGCGGTACACTTGTCGATGTGTTATCTGTCTGTATGCCGCTGTCAGCTAAACTGCCGTTAATATGTGAACTTCCAGCGCCAGTACTTAGTACTTTTGTCAGCTGATCTGATAGCGACTCCATTCTATCTTGAATCGAGGATCTGTATACATTCTCCGCGTATGAAGTACCAGGTTCCCTTGAGGAATCAAAGTCTATACGTCTTTGGAAGGGCAGTCTATCCCCGACTTTCAATCTATCAGATAACACCGATGGATATTCAGTTGGTAATTGATGCCGCTGATTCCATGTAGATATAGTCGTATCAGTGAAATCGCTTAGACTAGATCTCATAGACGACCTGGGAGATAGTCTAGACTTGAGGTAGTCTGGATTATAGTCTTTAATAGGACGACCGATGATCCCCCCTGCGTACAAATTCGGGGTGTTTTATATCATAACATTTAACTACATTTCAGTTTATTTTTTTTTACCCCCGAAACCCGATCTTCCAAATCCACGTACCACGGAAACGCGTAACCGGATAAATTTAATTACAACGAATAAATTTCATACATATATAAATATAAAAAATCACATATATAAGGATCTATATGGGATAAGGGTTGGGGGGTATAAATAAACTGAAATGTAAACAATTAAAACAAAAAAAAATATATGCATTCTATGTTAGGAAGGGATCGCTACGTGTTACATCTACATCGACATGCAATAGGTCATGCTTTTTTTCTGGGGGAGGGGTATTTTTTTGGGGGGGGGGATTTTTTTGTTTTTTTCGTTACCTGTGTTATCAATTTCCTCCTGAGCTCGTGAAGGCTTAGCGATGCTCTTCCTCTTCGATGGCGAGTGTTTCAAGGCTGTGAAGTTAATAAAAGTATCGATATATTTCATTTGTTAAATATTCACAGTATGCTTGTGGTGTTTTTTATGTATTTTTCATTAATGACGTGTAATAACTTGAATAGAAGAAATTTTTGAAGCTAAAGATTAAGTAGAAAGAAGTTTACACCACAAAAATACTTTTTGGATGAATATTCTATAACAGTGGTTTAAAACGAAAAAAAAAATATTTTGCATATAATCGCAAAACTTAAAAAATTTTCAAGCAGCTATAAAGAGTGAAAATAAGAAAAGAGAAAATAGAAAAAAAATATATATGAAAAGTTAAAATTCATGAAAATCATGCCAAACGTAGTGTAAAAGAGATTTGAAAAAAGTATTCCTATTTAGTGATATCAATAATATAATCACCAGTCGAAAAAATTAAATATAAGATTACCAAGAAAAGTTCAATAATAACATTAATATATAAAATCAGACAAAACGTGAAAAAAACACAACTATGTATGGAAAATACATGAGCTCTAAAGGGTATCTAGCTAGGGGTCACGGAAATTAAGAAAAGTGGAGGGACAAAATTCAAACTACTCATGAAATTGTCATAATAAATGTGTTCGCTAAAACTAAACGTGACAATGAAGACCCTAGAGAAATTATCCGTAGTTTTACATATAGAAACTTTTTGGACATAGTTTTTTTTTATTGGTCACAGATTATAACAATTTCGAAACACAGAGACGCCACAAATCACAACGGAGGATATACATGCCGATGACTTACTCAAACCTCCAAGGACGCGCGCCAGAATCCAATTTCGGACAATTGTTTGGAAAGAAATAGAAAGAAAAGACATTATTCACGTAGAAAATGAAAAATAAACATCACAACGGGGACGTGCATGACTCTCGATATAAATAAATAAAACAAAATAAAGTCATGCGAAAAAAAAGGTACCGAAACGGAATAAAAAATAAAAGACATGCCCAATTCGAAAATCAAAAAAATATAGAATCGTTAATAAAAAACCAAAAAAAAAAATCAAAATCACATCCACCAGCAAAAGTGAACGCCTACTGAAAATTTTGTCGAGTGTTGGTGGTAGAAAAATAACAATACCTACCAAAAAAATACAAAAAAAAGTACCGAATTACACTAATAATTGAATTTACTACATAACATTTAAAAGATATAAATTAAGCCTAAAAATTAAAATGTATATCATAGCGGATAGTGCAAATCCGCGTAACTACTATAGATAATTCCGCGTATCTACATTGGAAGCAGATCAGAAGAAAGTTTGAGCTGAAATATTATCTATATAAACGACTATTAAGGCAATATTTTCACAATTAGAAATAAATTAAACACAAAATAATTACTAATTGTGGAAAAATCACTTCAAAAGTATTTAATATATAAAATATTTCAGCTCAAACTTTCTTCTGATCTGCTTCCAATATATACGCGGAATTATCCAATGGCAGTTACGCGGATTTGCACTATCCGCGACGATATATATTTATTGGCCCAAGTTGGCCCATATTGGCCAAATCCACCAACACTCGAGCCAACTACAACACACATGTAATACCTATATAACTGGTCACCAATGTTCTGAACTTGCGATGGTTGCCTTTGATCTCCGGCAGGTCCACTAATCAAGAATACCATTATTTGCTTCATTTCCCAAACCCAAAGAAAACCCCATAGAATTTTGGACATATTTTGTATGAAAAATAATATTTCTTTGATGAATTAATATGAAAATTGAGATGTAGATAACATATTGAGATTAAAAAAATATTTATAGAATTTATTTACATTTAACCGACATCAAAAATGACAAGTTTCTATTTTAGACTAACCGTCAATCAACTATTTGATAATAACTGAAATATTTAGATCAAATACACAATATTTTCATTATATATAGCAATTTAATCTCAATATGCTTTTATTTTATAGTACATAAAGGTACACCAATCATGTTACTGGAAATACATATGTAACTATGTATAAATACATAAGGGACTTATGTAGACAGAGCAGTAGTATAGCATATAGCAGAATGAAACAACAGTTATTTTGCGAATGAATTTTGTATGGAAATAGTATGAATTTAGAAGAAATAGTTCATAAATAACAATTTTCTTTATAAATTCATTGTTTATTATATATAATGTTATATGATATACTTACACGAAGGTATCTTCTTGAAAACCGTTTTTCCCATGAAGTCTAGAAATCTTGAAGCGTAGAAGCTCGGCCGATGAACCGAAACAGTATCCTGGAACGGACAGTAGAAGAAATAAGAAATTTATAACATATATGTATATGAAAATTTTTATATTCAACACTTAATATTAAATTTAGAGAAACATAATCTGAATTTGATATTGACAGCTAACTTCTTTATCTTTATACAGGGTGACTGGTGAATTACTATCGATACTTGAGGACGTGATATTTGACGATCATATATGACAAAATAAAAATTAATATAACATAAATATTAATAAACTTCTAAGTAAAGTTAACCAAAAGTTGTGTAATTAATTACGCATCGTGTGAACACCCTACAGATTAGGTATACACACACACACACACACACGCACGTCGGCGGCGTGGTGTTGTATCAGCACGCCGCCGCACGCGTCCACACTTGGAACACTTGGAACGTATCCACACTTTATTTATTTATACGGAAATTTGGTCAAAAATTAAGTACCTATTTTTTTTACATAATTCGAATGAGAATCATGTACCAAGTATGCTCCTTAAATATTGATAGTAATTCACCAGTCACCCTGTATATATAACTAGCTTTTGCCGCGACTTCGTCCGCTTGGAATAGTGACTTCCGGCAGATTTTTGGTTCTTCCCACATAATTCCCGGTCTTGCGGGGTTTTCGGAATGGTCGAGTTCCCGTAGAATTTTCAAGATAAAACCTATGTTTTTTTTAATTCACAATGAAGTACTCTTAACCAACAACATATTTATTTGTTTATTTGAATAAAGATTAATATTATTATGTTACAACTTAAACAAATTATTTCGACCAAATTAGGTACCCTAAAAACGGTTTTTGTGAGTTAATCTTAAAAGATAGACATATACTGTCGCGAACTGTTTTTTAGATCATTAAAAGAGCTGTTATTTTTTAAAACATATTTTTTGTGTATCTTGAACCGTTTTTCGGCGTACGCAACGGAAGCCTTCAAAGATGAAATGATACAAACGTTTTTTTTACATTAGATTTGACAACTAATTAATATGTCAATCATTCTGTCGCACTTCAAAACTCCAAAAATACATATAAATAAAAAAACGTAACAGATATTTATTGATTATAGGGCGATACGAAGTTCGCCGGGTCTTCTAGTATATGTATAACTGAACTCACCCCATCATGTATCATGCTTTTCCATGTGTGTTCCAACTTCTTCCTCAGTCGGTATGACTGTAGGATGTCTATTATACCGAGGAACAGGAGAAGTCTTTCACCACGAGCATTCCTGGCCGGTATGCCACCAGGACTGAAAATTATATGATGAATAAACAATTATTTAATATATTTATATAATGGTTGTAGTTGTTTAAAGTATGTGTTATAAATAAATTTAATTTGATGAATGATTGTACTGGAATTATTGTCTAGTATGTATATGTAAATAAATAAATAGTTAGTGTATATTATTGTAAAGAAGTTATAAAATATGGTCTAGATATATTGGGGAGTAATTACTAATATTACTTGATTTCTAAAACATATGAAGATATGCTAGTTAATTTTCTTTAGCAATATTTGTATAAATGTGTATGTATGTATGTTATGTGTTACATATGTTGTCTTTCTTTCTTTGAATAAAGCAGTGTGCAACTGACTTACGTGTTTAAATAACTCCCCTGTCACTCCGCACCAAAGTTAACGGTATGTATTTATGTATCTATTGTGTCATGTGTGTATCTATATATGTCAGTCATCAGCCTATCAGAGCCCACTGCTGAGCAAAGGCCTCTTCTCACATGGAGAAGGTTTGAGCATTAATCACCATACTTGCTCAAAACGGGTTGGTGATTTCAAACTTATAATTTGATATAAGTCCAGGTTTCCTCACGATGTTTTCCTTCATCTGTCAGTGGTGTCTAAATACTCTTATAAAGTACTTATGACTCGGAAAAATCACATTGGAACTTGCCAGGTTTGAACCCGCGCCCTCGTGCATGATAGGCGGGCCCTTTAACCACTAGGCCACCACTGACTATATGTATTTGTGTGTAAATATATATTATATACTAACGGTACGTCCTCTTCTTCGTCAATAGGTTCACTCTCCGCCTGTATACTCTCCATGGCTGTTGAGTGCGCTACCAAACGATGACGATTTATTGACCTGAAAACATACATACAACATTATTAGACATTATTCCAATAAAGACTAATAACAGTGGTATTTATTCGGAAAATATTGGGGTTAAATAATAACTATAAATATAAAAGTAATGTTTAATACTTGTGAACTGTTTTATATGTGTTTTAATTATATTAATGTTATCTGATGTATATAGAATTTCAATATTAGTGTAGTCTTGGGTGTAATTCTAGTGTATAATAGTATTGAGAGCAGTTTTAATGCTTATATGACTTATTGAGTTTTATATATAAATATATATGTGGTATATTTTATTCAGCTCATCTCAATATATAGTATTTATTTTTTATTTAATTATATGAGAGTAACTTGTGTATGTTTGATCATAAATGATTATGACTAGTATTTTTTATTATTTTCGACATTTGTTCTATCCTTATACATTATATATTCAACTAAATATTATATAATTATGTGTTTTCTCTGAAATATCTTCATTTTTGTAAGCTGTCTAGCTTACAAATATTAAGTATGCATGCAAATCTTAAGTATCTTCTAAAACAAAAGTAACTTACTAATATATAATAGCTTAAACTTTATTGATTGTGTTTTTTTTTACAGACTATGTCTAATTAGGCTGCATGATTGAGTAATATGTTGAATGATCTCACTAACAGTATGAAAACTTGGCTCTCCATAATAACTTTTACATTACAAGTAATATAATAGGATATGCAAGTGTTGTTGGTTATATGATTTAAAAAATTATACTTTGGAAGTATATTGTGTGAGATTAGATATAAATTTATAGTTAAATATATGTGTGTGATGTTCAATAAAGTAAATATATATACACAAATGTTTGAGTGAGTGTACAGTCAAACTATACTATGGGGTATCCTAGAACATACTCTAAATATGTAAAAAGTATGCATATTTACTGAAAAAAATGATGAGAAATAGTAAAAATATATATATAAATTCGGGGTCCTTAATATAATGTCGAACCTTTAACTAATTAAAGTACAAATATGAACATTGTATGATATTTTTGTAACCATATTACATACTAATGTAATATAATTTTACACACACACAAATAAACCAAATATATATACATATATGTATAACACACACCATAACCATAAGATGTTCAATCTTATCAATATATATAACATGCTTGATCATTTCATTGCTAGAAGGGATTTTCTCTTGATAATAGAAAATCTATTGTCCCAAAGTACAAAAACCGTGCATTTAATTAATTATTATTAGTCACTAACATGCCATATAATCTATATATATATAATTATTAGTATATACTATATTTATATACTATGTTATTGCTATGGCTCTCCTCACATGCTTAGTTTTCAGTAGTTAGAAGGATAGACAGACAGACATACACGAGTTTGTTATATATGCTAGTAGGACATGTACACAAAGAAAATAAAAAAAATTATCCATACTGTGTTCGTTTGACTTGTGTCTTAAAATCCTCTTTGGTTTGCTCTGATCTGCAAAATTTCAAAATAACCTTCACCTGATAGAATATATGTATTTACAAATAATATATTACAATTTATACAAAAAAAACTTATATTAATTAATATATGAGAAAATCTTCTTTTTTGTGTGTTAATTTTTCAATGGTGATCTCTTATTTACAGCAATAAAAAAGTCTTTGTACTATAAATATTAAATAAATACCACTTAAAATTATTTTATTAAAATTTGGCTAAAAAATTATATCAATTACTAAAAAAATAATAATAAAAAATCTCAACCAATTTCAGGACGCAGAAATAAATCTTATATATATGTACATAAGTTACAATTATTTTTTATTAAATACATGTTTAAGCCCTTATTCACATATTTATTTGTCAAAGAAAATGTTTTAATTTTAATTACTTTTTTACAAATATAGTTTATCTTTACACATACTTAATATCAAATATGATCTCTATATACTTTTAAACAACCTCCCTCCTTTTCTCTACTGCAAATACAAAATTTATATTCTAGTTAGTTCCCCAGAACCAGTAAAATTTCTTATAGCACCAAAGAAACTTTCTCACACTACCTATACATTCAAATCTAATGACCTCGAACATATGCAATCAAATTCACCAAATCACATTTCCACATTACAACTAGACTTCTTATTAAGACTTACACATAATTCTAGGATATCCTATTAATCTCGTAGACTTATCAAAGATATAAATCCATATCCCAGTTAACCTTTAAGTCTTACCTAACTAATCTTCTTCTACCTGGCAATTTTACAGCTTTAGCCATTATCTGGCTTACATGTTGTGAATAGTTTTGGCTAATTGTTTTTACGACCGGCCCCCTGCCTGACATCAACCCTCTTTGGGAATGAGTTTTACCTAACTAATATCTTTTCCTATCTATATCCACTCCAAATTTACTCCAAATTACTCCAAATTTACTCCAAATTACTCCAAATTACTACAATTTACTCCAATTTCCTCACCTGGTCCTATTAAGTCCACTCTTCTTATTATAATCTTCATCGTCACTCTGAGAGTCTCTTTGTCTAGCCTCACTCTTCTCTCGCTGTGCTTCATCGAGATTGTGGATACCCACCAGTAGAGAATAATCCATAATCTGTAATTTTTGTTGTATATGTATATTAATAAATGATTTATTTAAACTGTATTACACAAAAATAGTGATGCACAAATGATAACTCTTCTCTTACCAGAAATCTCTGCTAAAAACCTTTATTCATTTAGAGTGTGACCAAAAAAACTAACAATTAATCTGTCTTTTATGATTTTTTTGCACATCCAGGGCTGTCAAAGTTTAAAGCAAATGAAAATATTATGTAAGCAGCCAGTGATTAAGTATTGGCCTATGTAGTCAATAAAACATTTCTTATTGGTAACATAATTTTCTATTCTGCAGTTAAAAATATGATCAGTTATACTTTAATGAGTTAGAATGTGGATATATAGATTTTAGAAGACCTCATTATGGGCAGTGTCAACATGAGCATAATAAAACTGAGTGGGCGTAACCTCTTCTACAGTAATATTCTAATATGCTACAATGAGAATATAATATAGCTAACTAGCTTTCCGCCCGCAGCTTCACCCGCGTCGAGTTCGGTTAAATCGAGTTTCCAAGAGAACTATTCAAAAGTCTGGGATAAAAACTATCGTATGTTCTTTCTGAAGGACAGCTCTATGTCTGTACCAAAATTTATAAAAATCTGTTCAGTGGTTTAGGCGTGAAAGCGTAACAGACAGACAGTTAGAGTTACTTTCGCATTTATAATATTAGTAGGGATGGAACACCTAATTATGGGCCATATAGAACAAAATATTTCTGACTGTGCATTGATGATTAATGGTTATCAAGACCGTAGAGGCCATAAAAGGTTAAAATATGTCTGATGGTTAATTAATTATGTATATATCACCTTAAAACTCTCCAATACTCTACAGTCCCGCTGCATAGTCTTGATAAGAGCACTGTATGTATCCGCCTCAAGAAAAATACCCTCAGTGTGATGTTCCATAAAATCCAGATCTTTGTACGTTGGAGAACTTTTCTGACGTTCCGTCTTACTCGCCTGATGGAAATTTTAAGATATTTAGGTTAAAATCAAATTATAATTAATTTAAAACAAACATAATGATTGTCGAATTATATATAATGGTTATTCAGACTTCTTTTATGATAGTAATGTATTGAAATTACCATTTGTGTATAATTCGAAAGAATTGCTATTAATTTTCCGGGTAATAGAAGAAGCTGAGGTTTTTTTGGAGGAATATGGAGAATGTTATAAATTTTACTTCAAATTTTTGGCAGACTTCCAATGTTATTGTAGAAGTCTGAAAATTTCCAGACAAAAAGTCCATATTTTGAGCGTTAATACATATTTTGAATTTCTAATCTCGTAGGTATAATTTTTGCTTACCTTTCTTTTATAAGTGGATCCCTTCAAATCGTATTTCTGATGAAGCTTCACAGATGACGGGAGAAGATTGTTCATAGCTACCAAACGCACGTTCTTACTATTGCATTGATAGCAATAAAGACCGAAAAATTTTGGCAACAACGTGCGTGGGTTCTGTGGAACATAGGAAATTAGAAATTAAATTATCCCATAACCGATTTGTCAGTACAGTTTTTGTTTAGCTAAGGACATTTATTATTTGGGTGTGGGTGAAAAACTATGAAAAAATATGTGGTGTTTTTCCTTTTCTTAAATTTATTTTTAGATTAGCTTTTTTCCTTTCAAGATAGTATTATTTCAAATGATTTCCTCTCGTCTATTTTTTCTTTACTGTTGTATTTTTTGTACCCACAACTCTAGACATTTTATTTTCCTAATCACATATTAATATATCTATGTTTTATCATATAATACAAAAAAAAAATATATGTATGTCCATTAATTCGATACGACTTTAACAAACGTCGAAAAATCAATCTACATTATGAGTGTCCTGTATAAACTAAGAAAAAATAATATTGATTTAAATATATAATTTACAACACTATCAGGATTCGAACCTGGGAATTCTAGAATTTCAAATCCACTCGCTTTTCCAATCCATCCATCGTGCTTAACATCTAGAGGGTGGATTAATATTTGACAAAAACGAATTCATCTCTTTTAGGTGTACTTGATTCTATGTGTAGTGTATGTATCTATACAATAGATATAATACACTGTCTCACGTACCCCACTTAAGAGGCGGCATGCGCTCGGCAGTCTAACGACTAGCGCGGAGCAGAACGGGGACGTGCGTCGCTCGTGCGACTATTTATACTTACATGTAGGACCAGGGATCCTACACTAATGATTACCTTACTCCAAACTTCTCATATACTTGGAACTTCTCTGTTCTGTAATTTATCATGTCAAAACCTACCTGATCGAGATTCAAGTAGTATCCAGGTAGTAGTTTCTGAAGGAACTCGCCCTCCTTGTGCTGTACCGTCTTAATGATGAACTCATCGTCGTTAGTCAGATAGAAGATGCTCCCGGACGCTCCGGGATTGCTAAGCTCACGTAATGGTGCACTACACATTGACATCTGGTGGGGATGGGGTATTTTAAAAACAATTTGTGACTTTTGTTTATGATATTTGAAAAAAATAATTGTTATAATTTAACTACTATGGTTATTAAACATTCATTGAAATTTTAGAACCGTTCTAGTTTTTGAGGTAAATCCTTGAATATGTTCGAGGAATTTTCGTTGAGGATTTTAAAATTGCAATCATCTATTTTAATTTGATTATTATATAGAAATGTTTATATTTTATATGTAATGGGAGCTAACGATTGCAGTAATAGATTTATCATATGGCATGAGGCAAGGTTACTTCAGTTTCAATGTGATATCTACTCCAACTTTATATATTAAATTATAATGTAAGCGTATTCAATATACATATATTTAATTTGAAATAAAATAAAATTGAATAAAATTACTTAATAGTCACAGTACTTCAATACATACAAAAATAAAACTATTATATTATGTGAGAAAATAGATTTTTGTCATGAGTTTTGTACATTAAAACATATGACATACATATGGAAACTATTTGTACATTAATCAAATTGATAAAATGTTATATTTACTTAGCTATATTAACATCATTTATCATAGATCTCATAAGGCTTTAAAAAAAATCATATATATATACATATATTAATTCCAATTTAATTAATGATTTTGCATATATGTATATATGTAATAAGCATCATAATTTATAAACTTACAAGGAAATCATCTGGTTGTATGCCGAACAGATCTCTGAAGTATCTGAAGGCTATGGGCGCGTAGGTTTTGAACTTGAACTCCGAGTAGTGATGTGCTGGTGTGTGGTTTGACCCTTCGGATGGGAAGTTTGTCGTTTCCACCGTCATGAAATCCTGCATCAACAGGTCGCGTTCTGGCTTCGAGGCTAGACCACCGATCGCGTGTTGGATACCTATAAAGATATTAATTACATATAAGTAAGATAATATAAACATATAGGTACATATATTATTTTGGTATTTATATACGCATTAAGTAAAAGATAATTTTAATATTACAAACAGACGTATATATTACTAATTTGTATGTATATATACTTATAATATGTATATTTGGAAAGAGTCAGCCGATGCTACATTATCAATATATTATATACATACGGATTGTTAGTTTAATATTAGATTAAGTATTTCATATAATAGGTGTACAACTTTGCTTCCGCCGTTTTGCAATAGATGGTTGTAGCGGAAAGTGGTAGTCGAAATAAATAGATCGTAGATGTCATACAATAAGCTTAGGCATTTGTAAACATAACGCCATCGAAATATTAGTCGATTTGCCTCTGCATCAGAAAGTTATTCTCGATTAAACATGTCAGCTTACGAGCCAAATTCTCGTCATTTGCGGGAGGTTTTAATTTTCTGCTTTAATATGAAGAAATCTGCGGCTGAGGCTCATGGAATGCTCTCAAATACCTATGGTGAGGCTGCTATTAGAGAAAGAACGTGCCGAGAGTGGTTTCAACGCTTCAAGAACGGTGATTTTGACGTCGAAGACCGGCATGGCGGTGGAAGAGAGAAGGTTTTCGAAGATGCAGAATTGGTGGCATTACTTGATCAAGACTCGTGTCAAATACAACAATAATTGGCAGGATCATTGGGAGTGATATAACAAGCCATTTCAAAATGCCTGAAAGTCATGGGAATGATTCAGAAACAAGGAAATTGGGTGCCGTACGAGTTGCAGCCGAGAGATGTTGAACGGCGTTTGTTTGCTTGTGAATAGCTGCTTGCAAGGCATAGACGGAAAGGATTTCTGCATCACATTGTGACTGGGGACAAAAAATGGGTTCATTACGATAATCCCAAGCGCAGAAAATTATGGGGATATCACGGCCATGCTTCCACGTCGACGGCCAAATCGAATATTCACGATTCCAAGGTATGCTCTGTATTTGGTGGGACCAGCTCGGCGTAGTGCATTATAAGTTGTTAAAACCGACTGAAACAACCACAGGCGATAATTATCGAGCACAATTAATGCGTTTGAGCCGAGCATTCAAAGACAAACGGCCGCAATACAACGAGATACATGATAAAGTGATTTTACAGCACGACAAAGCTCGACCCCGTGTTGCGAAAGTGGTCAAGACATACTTGGAAACGTTGAAATGGGAAGTTCTACCCCACCCGCCGTATTCTCCAGACGTTGCTCCCTCGGACTATCACTTGTTTCGATCAATGGCACACGGCCTGGCTGACCAGCACTTCCGATCTTATGAAGAAGTTAAAAATTGGATCTATTTGTGGATCGCTTCAAAAGATGACCAGTTTTTTCAACGCGGGATTCGTATGCTGCCCGAAAGATGGGAGAAAGTAGTGGCCAGCGATGGACAATACTTTGAATCATAAATGTATAACCAGTTTTTTACAATAAAGCCTCGAATTTCGGAAAAAAACGGCGGAAGCAAAGTTGTACACCTAATATATATATCGGAAATACCTTTTATTTACGTAATTATTAATTATTACGTATCTTAAGGATTTCCGATGTATAAGTGTAGCCACCTGTGTAAGTGTACTCACAAAAATGAGTGTCGCTTGGTATAAATAGAGGAGAGGGTACAGATTTAAAGAGTCTTGCTCAAGCCGTTGCAGAGATCGAAGCTCTTCGAAATAAATGCTTCGTCAAACACTATACGAGATTGCCTTCAATGAGCAAAGGCCTCTTTCTCACATGGAGAAGATTTGAGCATTAATCACCACGCTTGCTCAAGACGGGTTGGTGATTTCAAACTTATAATTGTGAAATTATAAGTCCAGGTTTTCTCACGATGTTTTCCTTCACCGTATGTCAGTGGTGTCTAAATAATCTCAGTAAGTACATATGACTCCGAAAAATCACATTGATACTTGCCAGGTTTGAACCCGCGCCCTCGGCAACAAGAGGGCCATTTAACCACTAGGCCAACACTGATTTATAAGTTAAAAAGTAACATTAATTTTGTTTGAACACGATTGTTTCTTAATGCTTTTTGATCACACTTGTTCTTGTATGAAAATTCATATTATAATATGTATGTATGTACCGGTTAGAATTCTATAACATATATACTAATAAATGAAGTTCAATTGTCTATTATTACTTCTTAATTAAGCTTTTCACTAAACTTATGTGATATTATACACATGAAATGTATCAAAATTATAATATTTAAGATGGTTTCTTACAAACTTAATTGTTGTTATCCAAAAAAGCTTGCATGTATGTTACTCATTAATTCAAAATTTTCTAGTCGAATCACTATCAGTTTTTGTGTTAGTGAAAGATACATTCAAATTTATATACCTATTGAATTTTTTTTTAATCAGTGGTCGCCTAGTGGTTAAAAGGCCCGCCTCTCATGCACGAGGGCACGGGTTCAATCCTGGCACGGGCAAGTACCAATGTGAATTTTACGAGTCATATGTACTTTCTAAGAGTATTTAGACATCACTGATTAATGCATTCCCAAAGAAGGTTGATGTCAGGCAGGCGGCCGGTCGTAAAAACAATTAGCCAAAACTATTCACAACATGTTCTGTGGAAGAGAAGAACATGACGTACCGACCCTACATAAAGTGGTATCAGGACAGGAAAAATAATTATAATAATTATTGAATTTTTTAGACAAAGCCGCAGTAAACAATTAGACAACAATATACGGATGTACTAATAAATGAGAATAATATTTACTCTCATAGATAAGTCTACGAAAACTATGAGATTAGGTAAATTAAAAACAAAATTTTCACAAGGACTTTGTTTCATTAACATATTTATTTGTTCAAATAGGTATTTTAGATAAACGTATGTTTATTTTACACTTACGTTATAACGTCGAAACTGTAATATTATTGTTTTTACGGATACTAGATGGATATTAAGTGGTAGTTTATACGGATTCGGATTTATATCCGTATATTTTTTGAATAGGATCCGCGGAGAGAGAGAGAGAGAGAGAGGATGAAAATAATAATTATTATTTTGTTAACTGATCTCAAATTAATGTTAAATAATTACGTTCTGCGAGGCAGGATATATCAATTATTGCATTTCGGAGACCTTATAACTTTTAAAAATAATATAAATATTATAATAAATGACTGGTTTCACTTATAAATATAAAAATAATTGACAAAGCAAATATTTAGACAGGTAATCGACACATACATGCACTTTCCCTCTGATATACCTTATTATGGGTATTTTTAACAGATTCCACGTGAGTGATCTAAAGAATTATGTTGACACAAGTACAGAATCTATTATATTTTATATTCGTCATCAGCCTATCAGAGCTCACTGCTGAGCAAAGGCCTCTTCTAACATGGAGAAGGTTTGAGCATTGATCACCACGCTTGATTAAGACTAGTTGGCGATTTCAAACGTATAATTCTGAAATTATAAGTCCAGGTTTCCTCACGATGTTTTCCTTCATCTGTCAGTGATGTCTAAATACTCTTAAAAAGTACATATGACTCGGAAAAATCACATTGGTACTTCCGGGATCGAACCCGCACCTTCATGCACGAGAGGCAGGCCCTTTTACCACTAGGCCACCACTGATTTATTTAATATTATAACTAATAAATTAAATACTTGTACTATAAATGAAAACACCATTTAATCTATTAGTATACTTTAAATCTTACCACAAGTCTGAACAGTTAAACTACATACATAAACAGCGTCTTCTGTTTTAAATACATAAACCTATGATACTATCATATACGTACATTTATGAATGAAATACGTCAAACCGCCAGTACGTAGTTTGACGACAAAAACCTGTGGTAAGTTTAATTATTATTAACGATCGAAAACGAGTCCCAATGGAGGCTATTGGTTGTAAATTGTAATAACTATGAGTAATATAAAAATGTACATGATTAATACGCCTTTGTTTATTGTTATGATCTAATTTAGGAGTAAATACGCATACATACATACATACACACTTTCGTTTGATAGGTTAACTGGCAAAGAGAATACAACTGTATATTCTAAAAGTCTCAGGTTCGAGTCCGGTTATGTCGATAAATTTTTGATTTATATATGTATATACAATTTGAAATTGAATTTAAGCTATGAGGTATATATGTATATTATATACGCCAATAATATATTAAATTAAATGAAACTAATATTTTTCATATATACTACGCGTATTTTATTATTTTAACTACATTCACCCGTCGTTTCGGTTACTTTTCATCAACCGTGATCACGGGCAGACGAGATGTGTAATCTCACCTCATCATCTTAGATCTTGTTAAGAATATATTTAATTAGTAAAAGCAATGTCTTTGTCAAATTTAAGTCAAATTTAGGGAAAAACCTCTTCTTCTCCCTGGCAATTTCCCAGCTTAAGCCAGGGTCTGCCTAAAGAAAAAACCTATTAGATGAAAATAATTTAACAATATATATTTTTTATACAAATTTTATCTTACGTATTGAATACGTCAACCGTATTACCTAGAGTGTCAAGGTTTTTCCATTCATAAAACTTCCGTTGTACTATTTTATTTTTATATCTCACTGTTAGTGGATTCCGCGTTTTATGATACAAATTTTTCATAAGAGAATATACAAATAAAACTATTAGTTTCGTATATACTACTTTATTATTTTAAAACTACATATTAGCTTTCAGTTACTTTAGAACTTGATCGATCGCAAAAATTCCGAATATCTTAGTTTTATTTAATTTGGAAGTGAGGTAACTAGGACTTATAATTTCAAATTATAAGTTTGAATTCACCAACCCGTCTTGAGCAAGCGTGGTGATTGATGCTCAAACCTTCTTCATGTGAGAAGAGGCCTTTGCTCAGCAGTGGGCTCTGATAGGCTGATGATGACGATGATGATTTAATTGAACCCACGCAAAGTCTTAGATATTTTTTTTTTTTT